CCTCGGATCGCAGGGTAAGTCGCCCGAACCGCGTCCCTGTGTCTGGTTGCTCAAAGTCTCGACGCAGAAACTCGGACGCATTGCTCCCTCGTAGACGGTACGTGAGGAGCACCGCTATTGAGCCCCAGTGCCGAGCCCTACTGATGAGGTCACCTTCAGGTCTTCCCAAGTATCGCAACTGGCCGCGTTGAAGTCGAACGTCAGAAGCGTCGGCCTCGCATCTGTCTCTATGGCTTGCATCCGGGCAGCTCTACGACCGCATGACACACATGCTAGTGGCATGAGAGGCAGCTCTCGTTGGTATCCCACCACATTCAACTGTTTCCAGTCTGCTCCGCCTTTCGCCGGTTTCTGATTGTAGCTGTATCGTACCGTGTAGCCATACGACCGCATACCAGTTCATACAGTAGTAATCATTCATATCCTATGACGTGTATCGATGACAACCATCCCTGCCCGACCAGACCCCAGCGCAACCCAAGTGCAACCAGCCGCAACCGATAACATACTAGCTGACCCGACGTATGGTTGTATAGCATTGTGCGACCATACCACCTTATCCAACCGCATACAGCCAAAGTAGGGAAATCAGCAGAATTGGGATTACGGTCGGGGTTCCCTACTAGATACAGTACTAATCGACCTAATACAGCTAAGCCCATGTCGATTCTCACTGGGGGTCAACACCGAGTTCGAGTCCGAATGTGCCAACTACGGCGAAGGCCTCTTTGGAAGGTTGGCTGTACATTCCCTTCTGTTGCCCAAAGGGCTAGTGGTCTCAAGGACCCGCCCATTATACAGTTTCCGCAGGAATGCCTAGGTTTTCAAGTGTCTGATTTCCATTCGTGGGCTACATACAAGATTCAGTACCCACGGTTGCTAGGTACCAGTGGCTCCCCGATGTACGGAGTGTCACAGAAGGCCTTCGGACACGGATTTTCTCAGGATTCAGCGTCCAGATCGCATACTTACGTTCTGCCGTGACTCCGTTACTTACCACTATCGGGGATCTATATTCACACCAGTTACCGCTTGACAGTACTCCAACCGGTCGCACTGTATTCGTGCCGGCAGGCAGGCAGTCCCCACCTTCTTCCCTCTTCGAAGGAAAATTTGACGCCAATACGCAGTCGACGGAGAACTTTTCGTTGATTGACGTTCGGATGTTGGCTGCCATGGTATAACATGCTCGACCCGCAGGAGAATACACGAGTCTCGCCCGTCCCAGGTCCCCCTCGCCAGTCCCGCCCCGAGGCTACACTCCCTTCTTTACTCCCAATCTCCCCTCTGGCCAGCGCTGTATCCCCATCGAGACAGCGGCTGCTCACCGTACCTGACTCGTGCTGTGTGGCTAGTGCCAGTGACCCCTCAGGACCTCAGCCGCGAAGATGGCCACGCCCGCGCAAGAGATGTAAGTAATCCGGAAGTACAGCGTCCATTTGGGGCTGGCAAATCGTGCTCTGCTCGCGAGGGTCTGCTAACAGGCATCCGTATTACGCGCATGCAGCTATGGCCCGATTTTCATCGGCATGGTGTTCAACATCTTGCTGTATGGGGTTATGATCACCCAGACGTATCTGTATTTCAACGTGTACAGACGGTGAGGATCGTCGTTATTTGCGAACTAGGGGTCCGCGCGCTGATACAGGGGGGGAACAGTGATAAGACGTGGATGAAGCTCTTCGTGAGTGATAGTCCTGGATTCGCGGGATGATGACATTAATAGGTTGTTGGACAGGTGCTCACGTTGTTCCTGTGCGATACTGTCAATACGTGCTTGGACATCGCGTTCACGTATCAGCCGCTCGTGAACAACTTCGGTGAGTGGGACGGCAAGCTCGTGCGAGGGCATGAAATGTTTAGGAAGCGTGTGCAGGAGACAACGACGCCATCTCCAGAGCTACTTGGGGTAAGTATGGACGAGGAGCCGGGTGTCTGCTGCCGGTCATGCTGATCATTCTTCCTTCCCAGTGTTCGCGACAGGTATGACAGCACGCCAATGAGGGTAGCCACTTGAGCTGACTGCTTGGAATCTTGACGCCTTTATAGACCCCGCTATGACGGTGAGACGGTGCTGCAGCTGACCGTTCTCGTTCGCTGAAACTTTTTCCCCCAGGCCATCATCGCTGTGCTCACGCAGCTCTTCTTCGCATGGCGTGTCAAGGTGTTGACGTCGAACTACTTCGCTGTCAGCGCGATTGTGATATGTGCCGTCGCCCAGTTCTGTGCGTCTGCCCGATGCTCCGTGTCCCGCGTTCTGACAGACCCACATTGTCTTTGCTATGCCCAGGTGGCGGGCTTGGGACTTCCATTGCTGTCGGGATGATACCGGAGTTCGTCCGCTTCCAGAAGTTCCAGGTTATCGTCATCATCTGGCTCGCATTTTCCGCGGCCGCCGATGTCCTGATTACGGCGTCCCTTGTCTGGCACTTGGTATGACTCCAGAACCTGATGCGGTTGTTTCTAGCGCTGATCAGGGGGCTCGTGAACGCTGTAGCGCAAAAACAAAACGGGGATGGCCGTGACGGACGACGTGGTTGACAGAATTATCCGTCGTAAGCCCGTCTCTTTGTTCTCCCCTCCGTGTTCCCTCTAACATACTGCTGGTGACCTCCCCTCGTCGACATAGTGACTGTCCAAACGGGCCTCATTACCGCTGTATGCGCGGCTATCGACCTCATTCTCTTCCTGCTCTCTGTAAGCAGATCCATCCCGGCCTCCTTCGGTGTTTCCCACGTGCCTATGTCCGTGTGCTGACATCAGCTTCTGCCACGCTGCAGTCTTCTGGCCTGCATCTTATCTTCAACCTGCCCTTGTCGAAGCTGTACACGAACTCGCTGCTGTCGAGCTTGAATTCCCGGCGCGGATGGCAGTACGACACTAGTGACGTGCTCAGCGGACAGCACTCGGAGCACCGTCCGAGCGCTGGCACACGGAGGCCCAGGAATGTCAACGTGAATGTACTCCGTAGCGACGTCGGTGGCAAACGGGTGAGTCTTAACTCTTTGGGACTGTGCATTGATCTTTCCCCGACCGATCGACACCGTCATCCTCACCCCTTCGCATCTTCCTGTCTCGATCATGAATAATTGAACTCACAGCGATTTCAGCAGGCGCCCCAGCAGATCTACATCGACGTCGAATCGCACGAGATGGTCGACGTCGTGGACGTCAAGGGCGGCCATTACACGGCAACTCCGTCGTTCCTGCCGGACAAGAAAACGATGTCGCCTCCTGCGGAGCGGGCGGAGTCTTCCGAAAGGGGGGTAGACGATATCATCTAATTTAACCTTGCTGTTGTATTCTGTACTCGTGATACTTTGTTCATTTGAATAGGCGATCTGTTAGCAATAAAGGGTATGGTTCAATGTAATTTCATTATGGGAGAAGTTGTGAAATTCTAATTGGCAACGCTTCAAGTTTCGTTCATATGCATATGTCGCTCGACCAGCAAACGTTGGGCTGGATACGTATCGATGCAAGCTTGACAACGTCGTGCATGCAATGCTGCCGGATGTCTTTCAGTAGTGTCTAGCGTGATGATTGATTTCCTCGTCTCTGAAGTTCTTGACGGTCTCAGCACTGCCACCGGGGTTCTCGCGTTTCGAGGACTTATAGGCGCCAAACGCCGCAAGCCTTACCATCACCCGTCACCGTCCCGATTTTGCAAATCATGTCAATCCCGTCAGGCGGCGTCGCCCCGAGGCAGGTTGGACCGCGCTGGCCACGTCGCTTCTCTTCTACGACTTCTACCGTCTCTGCGTGGTCAGACTGGGCCACGCGTGCAGGGAGTTCCGTACGATCCGCTGTTGGCTGAGGTGCAATGGTGGCACTTTTTACGCTCGCACTTGTGCTCGTTCAGGCATTGTGCACTGGGCAGGTCGTTGCAACGCTACAGCGGCGTTCAAACAACCCCGCGGATGACCCCAAAAGGACACCCAGTCCTCCCATTTTGAAGCCGAACCATATAACTCAGTGGGAGGCTCTTGAGGATCAGACCGTGACCTGGTACGTGATGGACATGCCGTACCTCTGAAGGACCACGCACAGTCGGGACTGACGGTGTACGCTTGCAGGGACGCAAGTGGTCTGAATGTGACGGGGTTGAAAGGGACGATTCTCTTAGGCTTCGTACGCCCAGATACAACTAGGTTCGTGTATCAAGGTAAGCCCAGGATCGCGTTCACTTGTCGATGAAGTCATCTGGCCTAACTTGGACTCTTATGCTCAGAGCCCCTTGCGCAGAATTTCGCATTAGCGGACGAGGCGGTCAACATCATCCTCCCGGATCTGCCCACGAACAATCGTTACTTCTTGATACGTCCGTCATCTCAATTGTTGGTTTTCCGTGACTTGATCCACTGAAGTCGGATCGTGTTTTGCATTCAGTGCTCGGTGATATGAACAACACCAGCCCGTTGTTCGGCATCGCGGGCACGGATCAGAACGACCCCACCAACAGCAGCCCTTCGACGACGCTTCCGCCGCAGACGATCACGACACAATCGGCGACGATCACACGTACGCAGGTTGTCTCGACAGTAGGCGGTGCTGCCTCCACTACGACTACGGCCTCCACCACGTCGACTTCTTCGAGCCCTGGGAGCTCATCTGGAGGGGCACAGCCTTCTGGTTCCAGCTCGGGGCACAATGGCTGTGCTGGGATGGTCAAGTCGGTTCGGGGATATCTGGTTGGGGTTCTTCTGGCGTCCTCGTTGCTGTTGTGAGGGCGGTCAACGGCTTGCCGGGCGAGCTTAGGCCATATCAGCCATATGATCACATATTTCAGAGCTTCATTCCTTCCGTTCCACGATCGGCGCGCAGGGGGGCGCGGTAGGAGACTGGCCTTCAACGGAAGGGAGTCTTGGGTGATCCCGGTGTTGGGAAAACCCTGAAGCAGACCGTGCTCGGTGCGTCCGCATAATCCCGTTTCGTGATTCCCCTGCAAGTATATCCACGTGAAACAACACACATACATCGTATACGTAGTCAACAAACAACATGTTTCGATTTTCTGAAAAAGAAAATGACGTACACCGCTTATGCATTAAGTGGGAATCGAACCCCCGGCGGGTCGATGGCAATGACCCAGGTTACCACTACCCCATTAATGTTTCATTTCGGTACTATGAATAGAACATCAGAGCATGCCCACATGGCATGGAACGATGCACCAGAACGTTTGGCAAACGATGGCAGGCCAAACATCTGGGTGGTCCGTGCGCATATCCCATTAGTATATAACCCACCTCACTGACGTTGTGATTTCCTTACCACTCTGGCCTTTTGGCTTAGATCAAGTGTAGTATCTGTTCTTAATAGTTTAACCACTATTATGGAGGCACCGCCTCCATTTTTGGTTATCTAATTTTTGCAGCCCTTGTCCCTCGAGCTCTGCTCGCAACTCGGGGGCGCGATGACCTTGCTACTGCACTATCAGCTTGTGTCGTCGGGGGATCTCCCTTTTTCTTTTTGGAGCACCTTTGGGACTGGTCAGTTGACCAGGAGCTTGGTGTTGCAAATGGATCAAGTGGGGCCTATTTCGGCCTTCTGTCTACGCTTTGTGTGTTTGATAGATTGTTTGGATGATGGGTTTGAACGGCAGTTGGCTGTCGTGTATTCACGCAATGTGACACCGTGGCACCTCACTGATGCTTCGTTTTTGTAGTCACCTCTGTTTGCTATATTTGCAACTCTGTTGTGTAAGCCAACTTACGAGAATATTGCGTCAGACATGCTCTTGTCTGTCACCGAGTTCATGTCTGATAAGTGCGGTTCCATGTATGCAATGTAGATGTACAAGACCCAGGGGATGTGACACGGACATCAGATACATGAAGACACTACATGAGCTTGCCATTTGTGTAGCCACCATTTACCGGGGACGTCACCCCACTTTTCTTGAATGCCTTGCGTGTCGCAAACAGCAAGCTGTCAATCAGCGATGCTACGGTAAGCACTCCACCAACAATCGCGCAAGTCCTGCAATGAGCTACATGTCAGCGCATACAATCACGCGAGGCGGCATGGAAGACTTACGACGTCAGGAAGTGCGCAAATGACTGCCGCGTCTCGACGTGGCGGATCAGGAGCGGCGAGATCTCATAGTTGAAGAACGCGCCCGGGATACCGCCGTTACCGTGCGCGACGTGCAGACCGGCGGGGCTGTCTTCCGAGGGGCCCTTGTCGAGGTCGCGCTCAAAGTGCGTGGCGCTGTATTGGTGGGTGCCGACCTGTAAATGCGGCGTTCGATCAATTGTTATACATGAATGGCGACTCGGCTAGAGCGTACCTTCTTCCCGTCAATCGTCTGGAACTGGGTCGAGACGACCTTCAGGAAGTATTGGAACATATATTGCTGCTTGATTGTCTGCATGGTACAATGAGTCCCCTGCGGCCCCGTAACTTGTCGTGGCACTCACCCTGCCCTGGGTGCCGTCAAGGGGGTTCGCATCGATGCCCAGGCGGTTCTTGAGCTCCTTGCCCAGCTTCGCATTGCGCGGGTCGTACTCGTCGTCGCCTTCGAACGCAAAGTGGTGGATCTGGTGCGTAAAGTCGTGCCGGTTGCCGTCCGTGCGGAGGTACGGTACGAGCTCGTACAGGTTGTGCGCGCTCGTGCGGAACGAGCGGCCGGGGGAGAGGTGGATGTTACCGACGACCTTGTTCACGCGCACGCGCCCGGCGATGTTGCAGCCCTCGTGCGCCTGCTCCTTCAACTTGTCGGACCACCCTTCCTTGACGCACTGCGCGACAGGTGGGCGGGCGGTCAGTACGTGTTTCACCGTGCGCTACACGCACTATACGCGCGAAGGGAGGCACGTGTGCGGAGACAGAGAGGGTGTGGACTGCTACGCACCTGCTCGATTGAGTCTGGCCGGTTGAAGCTCCATCCCCTGTTCACGTACGCCTGCCGCACCTCCTCACACGTGTTGCAGCAGCCGCCCTCGGGCTCAATGCCTCCGTAGCAGGATCCACAGTAGCCGCTTTGGCGCTGCTCGTTGAGCTTGTCGAGATCGTTCTGGAGCTCGGCAATGAGGGAGTGCGAGACGGGTTTGCCCTTCTCGTCCAGACGGGTCTTGAGGATGTTGTGGGTGATGTCGGACTGGGTCTCGCCGGAGATGTCCATGACATCCAGACTGAGCACTGGGGAGACGTGACGCCGTCAGCTTGGCTCGCTCCGTTTGGCTGGGAGCGGAGGAGCGCACGGCATGCCGGCACGCAGGAATGTGCAACCCACTTCGTAGACCACTATCCAGCACTGGAAGTGGAGCAGACATATTGACACTTACGGTAGCATGGTACACGAGGGAATGTGATGTTCATGTTAACCGTCAACTTCTCTCCTCTGCTCCGGTCGACGACGATGGATGTGTCGACGAAGACGCGGCGGTAGTCGAAGAACTCAATGGTGGTAAAGGAGAGGATGATCGCCGCAGCGATAATGGTCACTTCAAGAGGAGAGGGTCCATAGTCAGACTCGCGACGTCGCAAACGGGTCAAGCGAAGAGGTGGTACTCACAGAGCGCCCCGGTACGTGTCTTGACCTTGACGTCCTCCATCGTCTGCACGCACAGTCAGAACACTTCTCTCGCTCTTGCATCGCTGGCAGATGTCCAGCTAGAGTGTAGCCCTTGCTCAAGAATGCTAACCTTTCCGAAGGCGTCGACGCCCTTGAGGGCGTTCAGAAAGCCCTTTGCCATGGTGTCCTGAAGTCGAAGAAACCAATAAAACTAGACAGAAGGAGAGAAACCGGGTGGAAAGCGGAGGCGCAGAGGGCGGCCTGTCCTCCCTGGCAGGTAAGACTGATGGTGGTGGTGAGTTGTTGTGAAGGCCTCCGATGCGGCGGCGCGCGTGTCGCTGCCGCAGCGGACTCGGGTAGCATATGAACGCGGCCAGACGGGCGACTCTCCCAAGCTGACGTGTCAGACCCACCACATGATCGCGCATCCTCGTGTGCGCTCCCCTTCGCGCGCGTGTCCCCCGACCGACCATCCTCCAGAAATTAGCCGTGTACCCTACTCTACGACTGCTAAATACAAGGCACGCGAGTCAACAGTGGCATGCGCGCAGTATACATACCATTCACGCGCTATGGCTGCGACGCGATTCGGTCTACGCCCTGCTTCACCTTCCCCAGCAGATTCCGCACGCCATCCTTGATCCCTTCCGTCTGCAAGCTCACGCCCTCCCCGCTTGTCCTGTACACCCCTGGTGCAGGCCCTCCTAGACTAACGTTGACACCTCCGAGGTTGAGGTTGAGCGAAGGCATGCTGTTCGCGGAGCCCGGAGGAGGCTCGTAGACGGACGCGGGGAAATTCGAAGCCGCGGTGCGGACCATATCCAAGAAGCTTGTCATGACTCGCCATCAGCGCACGCTCCTCTGTCAATCACGAGGATCGATACCTACCTGGACGAGTTGTGGATGCATGTTCCTCCGAGCAGAAGGCGTGTTCCAGCTGCCGCGGAGGGCCCGCCGGACGTCGCTTCTTGGTTCAACAGCGCGACAACTCGCGCCTCCGCGTATGTCGTCCCACCAACCATGAAGATGATGACGTCTCCGGGACTGTGGAGCCGTTGCACGTTAATCTCGGGGTTGGAGGAAGCTGCGGGGACCTAGGTACTTACCGTTGTAGGCCTGCATTCGGCCCAGCACCGTCCAGGAACGGGTGGGTCGTGTCTCGGAGCCGGCCTTTGAACAGGTTCTCCAGAGTCTGTGCGAGGTGCGGTGTGTGCTGCATGTACACGTTCTCGACGCCTTTCAGACCTTTCAAGGCAGACCGGCCTTTTGCGAGCAGAGCTTCGGCAGAGAAGAGGTCTTCTTGTCGTTGGTCGGAACCTGCGATGTTCAAGACGACGTACACGAGCTAGAAGTAGCGTAACGTCCTAAGCAGTCGTTCGGTCTGCAGGCAGTCAGTATACGCACTCGGGCATCTTCTCGTGACACGCCATTCTCGAGCATGAGGTTGATGAGCGAAGCGACGTTCTGTGCTTGCGACTTCTGGTACCGCAAAGCGTAGAGCACGACCAGTCGAAGCTTGTGCCACGGTTGAATGGCCGGATTAGTGATCAACGCTTGCACACTCTGCCACACTCGCCCATAAGCACGTTCCCCACTTGCCGCTCCCACCCGCGACGCACCTTCAAATCCGCCCCCGACCCTGTCGCGAGCCCCTGCTCGACCTCGCCCAGCTCGAGCATCTTGTCGCGCTCGACCAAGCGGCTGAGCTCGCCTACGATCGCGACGTGCTTGCTCACGTTCCCGCCGAGCTTGCGGAACTCGGGGTACTCCTCCACGAAGCGCTTCATGTCCGTGATGGACTGGATCTGCGACGGGCTGTGCGCGAGCGAGTGCGACTGGTACGACTGCACGTACGACTTGAGCGCCGTGCCGAGGTCGCCGAACGTCGCGAGGTGGTGCGCCTGGAAGAACGGGTCCGTGGACGTCGAGAGCGTCACTTCCTGCAGCCGTTCTCGTCAGTGCGCGCGCTAGAGATAGGGTAGGGAGCGGGATGGACGGACGTACCTTGAGCTCTGGTCGGATGTCAGGGACCGTGCTGAGGTCAACGCGGCCGTTCTGGATGCCGAGCAGCTCGTGGACCATCGCCTGGTACGTCCACTGCGAGAGCATCGGTGTCACCGGGTCGTTTCTCCTGTCGAGGATGAGCAGCAATGGTGGCACTTGCGTTAAGCGGAAGTCGAACAGCTGCTGCTCAGACTGTACCCTGTGCTACTCCCACGTCCATCCGTTAGGTTCTCCCTGACGGCGAGTTCTCTGGAGAGAGCGCAATGGAAGGACATACTTGAATCTCGACCCCGAGCTTCTTCGCCATCGGACTCGACTTCTCGTACCTGATCACGGGCTTCTTCTTCAGGCTCAGGAGGACAGCCGTCACGCCCTGGACCGCGCGCTCGAGCGCGGCGGGGTCCCATGTGTTCGGAGAATTCCCGTAAAGAGGTCGCGAGGCCGAAGGAGTGTGGTTGAGCGAGAAGAGTGAAGAGAGAATAGGCGCATAGTCTGCAAAGTATTCCTAGATGGGTACGCATGAGGCATGGGTCTTTCAAGACGAGAGCCAGAATAGCAATGACAGAAGATCATACGAGACCATCGCGCGCACGCGCGGTCGCGGCAGAAACCGCATTGGGTGTGGAGGAGACAAGGTGGTGCATGAGGCGGTACGATGAAGAGTGGACTGACCTGCACTTCGCGAACGACCTCGTACTCGTCCACATCTGCGAGGCGCTCGATGGCTGTCTTGCTAAGGATATTGCTGAAGTCTTCGACCGCGAATGTGAGCATTCATTTGAGACCGAAGTGCGGAGAGGGAAAGGAAGACGCTCACTGACAGAGGTAGTATTCGCCGTACTTGGGCTCGCGCAGCTCAGCGGCGAGGGCCTCGAAGCTATCTTCACTGGGCTGGAGGAAGCAGACACACTTCATGTGTGGCATGCGGTCGCGCTTCTTGTTGTCGATCTTGTCCGTGAGGTAGACCTGGTGCGACAGGAGGATCGACTGTGTCGCGGACAGGGACACGATGGGTGTCTGCGCTCGAGCATGAGCGTAGTGAAGACGTGCTGATGGCGAGGTGCAGTATGAGAGCGAGACGTACTGTATGGTTATCCAAGAGTAAGACCTTCATCGAAGGCGGCGTGGACACCATCTTCGTGATGTAGGTCTCTACAGCCTTTACGACATCCATAGTGGCGGCTTGGGTGCGTGCGCCAGGTAGGCGGGATGTTCAGTTGGCCTCTACGTGTCTGTGTAGCAATAATTGTAGTCGACTTCCTCTCCTTGAAGTGCGGGGAGACAGGGTATAGGAGGAGATGACGGTGAGAACGTAGCAGCCGAATGGACATGCGCAGGACGCAGGGACACGCGACGCGTTCCGGCACTGGCAGCGGCGCGACTGAATGCACGCAGTGTAGCGCTCGCTCGCTTGTGAATCCATGGATCATGCCGTTCGGATCTTCTCCCTCGACCATGACCACTCCCAGCGATTCCCCACGCCCTTCGTTCTCGTTCACCAGCTGCACTTGTTATCACCTCAGCTGTTCTTGACCTCCAAACGTATCACTATGGCTACCCCAGTGCAACGTGCGTTTGCGCACGACGAGCTCGAGCGTGCGCTGAAGGAACAATCCTTTGGAATCACCAGCTTCGAAATTGTGTCGACCACGCCATTGAAAGCGGCGGCTAGCGTCGTCTTGCTGGAGGGTCCGACTGTACTCGTCTCGCTATCCAACAGAGGCTTCCAGGTGCGTGTGCTCGGTCGTATGCACCCCACACGTTTCTGATACTACTATCCCTCCAGCTCTATAGTCCTACCGATCCACCGACAGATCCTGACCTGGATGCGGAGGCTGTCTTCGAGACCATTGAGCAGCTTCTCCAGTCCGTCAGTCCACAGTATGATGCAGCCCGGAGGAGCGCACTCATCACGAAGCTCGAGTCGATTCAAGCCACCCCAGAGCCTGCATGATATACCTAGGTTTGTCCGTCCTTCTACGCCGCTTGCGTACGGCTATTGAGCCGCGAAGGTAGTCGCCCTCCATGTGCTCAGCCGCCCTCACGGTTCTGGAGGCGATCCGATGTCATCCCACCTGCTTCATTTATTCATAGTGCACATGTATTCATATTCGTACAAACCACAAACACCTCCATTAGCTTCCGTCTGCTCCGTGCAAGCTCTTACCCCTGCAACTTCCCAGTCTCTTTCCTCCTCTTCAACGCATCCCGATACGCCTCGTCTGTGAAGACGTAATCGGTGGACCCCGATCTCACCTTCTGTATAGTGTCCTTGATCCAAGCTCGCTCCTCAGGGTTGCGTAGGCAGTTCGCCCACCACCTGTCCATGCTGTTCACGAGGATATTGCTCCGGAGGATATTGTTTGCGCTCTGCTCGTACAGCACGAACAACAAGAAGCCCGCGTTATAGCGCTCCAGCCCAAACTCGGAGAGACATTTCAGGATGCGGGATATGCGGAGGTTGTTGTGAGGTGCGCCTACGTCCCTCTAGAACGTGAGTGGGAGAGGGACAGATGGGACGGTAGTACTCACGCGCGAGGTTGAAATATCTCTCCTCCCACTTCTGCACGCGACGAAGCTCTCCCGTCTCCTTCGAGACGAGCTCCATCCCAAAGAAGCCGAGCATGATCTCGTAGGACCGCTCGAGGCGTTCGATGATCTTGGGATCGGCTTTCATATCTGCGATCTCATGTTTCTGCAGGGGCTGCGCCTCGAAATTCATGCCGTACTCCTGCAGAGGGAACCTGTATATGGCAAGTCCAGATCAATCTCGGAATTGAGTGGTGAAGATGCGTTCAATACATACAGCCACTGAATGTAGCCGTGCTTGTATTCCAGCTTTGCATAGTCCGTCTTCCATCTATTGGGACATCGTATCAGGTATGATCCTGGTGCAGGATGTATACGCCCTACTGTTCGTGCAGCTCATCGATCAGGAGATTGTCCGGCCTACAGCGCTCTAGGTTGGAATAGAATCGAAGATTTGAGTTGAGGGAAGGGTCATCCGGCAAGTCAGGGTAGTTGTCCAAAAATTCGCGAACATCCCCAGGAAGCGACATATTTCGTGTAGATGACAGACGACTTGTGTTAGTGGATGGGAGAAGACGAGAGAGACTACGAGGTGCTGTCCTAGAATTGAGAATCTTGTGTCGCAGCCTCGGGAGAACGCGAAGCATGAGGCCAGTGCCACATTCAAGCGCGCGACGCGTCTCATTATCTGCGGAGTTTCAACGTAGACTTATCATCAATACAAAAGGATTATCGGAGTCCCACCTGGGTAAGCCGTGGAAAACGTCGCGCCTCCGCGAGCCACAACCGCGACCGAACGCGTCGACGCCGGCTTCTCCCTCGACCGCGATCCATGCCCGGCGTTACGAGATCCATGCCGTCCTCCGCCTCTTCCTCATATCTCTCCGTCTCCGATGCACTTAACAACCTTTCCAAGGCTGCCACGGTAGCGGTATGTTGTTGCCCGCCTTCTACGTGACTGCTCAACCTAAACATGTGCCTTTAGCTCAATGCCGTCCAAGGCGCGCAGGATCACACCTACCAGGAGCTAGAACGTACTCGTGCAGAACGAGACGATGCGCTGAAGGCGTTACATGATGCACAGCTGGACTCTAAGGATATGGAGGTTCGAGTAGAGGGTTGGAAGGCGGCTGTGAGTCTCGGTTTCCCCTGTCATTGTTCCTCTGCTCACCAATTGTCACTGTCGCGCAGTTAGAGAAGTCAGACTTGACAGTAAGATCTCACGCGAGTTTCAAGCACTGATAGCCTATAATGCCCACGAATAGATCAAACATCAAACCGAAACGATCACACAACTCCGCTCTGAAGTCCAGACATGGAAGACACAGCTCGCACGTCTCGAAGAGTCGTCACGACAAGAGATAGAAGGCTGGAAGGAGCAATACCGACGCGCAGAACACGAACGTGCCCGGCTATCCGCCCGTATTGAGGAGCTCATCGCTGGGCAGCTAGCGGTACGTCCCTCCCCTCGTCTCCGCTTCAAACGAACAACCCGTGCCAACCCTCCGTCCTTCCAGTGGAACGCCGCCGCACACGCGTACACCGCTCCGTACACACCACGTATAGGCTACGCCGAGGTTCCAGAACCCCCGTCCTCTTCATCCGCAGCCACAATCACTAGGCACGCGTCGACTTCTCACATCCACCGCGCAGCCGGCACCCCGCGCTCAAACGGCCGCGCGGCTCGCGCGGACGCAGACGAGGACGAAGACGACCGCCCGCTGACGTCCGCGCGCAAGTCGAAGGGCCCGAACGGCGCGCGCCAGCCGACCCAACCCGAGCCCCGAGCGCATCCGGGCACAGGTACCCCAGCGCGCACGTCGACCGCGCGGCGGAGGGACAACGCTGCTGCCTCTGCGGCCGGTATCGCAGACGTTCCGCAAGCAAACGCGAGTCGCGCGACCCCACGCACCCCCGCCGCGCGGTCCGTCCCCGGGCAGACTGGGACGCAGCCGCGAACGCAGGTGATCCGCCGCGTGACGGCAATCGTGGACGTGAAGGAGGAAGAGTCGGACGAAGCAGGCGGGCTGGAGGACTTGGAGTCCGCCGCATCTGGGTCGGCTTACGACCCCGAGGAGGACCCGCCGATGGCCCTTGGGAGGAGGCGGCGGAGGGCGTCGAACGTGTCTGGGAGGTCGAAGCGCGCGGTGAGGGAGTTTGACGAAGATGATGAGGACGAGGAGGGGGAGGGCACTGTGTTGGAGGACGACGGAATGGATGGGGTGGAGCAGGGCGAGGACGCGGAGGACGATGAGCTGCTGCTTGGATCCAAGGTACGCACTCGTGTTGCATTCTCGCTGGCCACCGCACGTCAAGTTCTCGCCTACTTTTTGGGACATATTTCCATATCACGGACAGCGCTGACGACCTATGTCCCCTCGCATTCCAGCCAACACAGCAAGTGCGGAAAACTGCGCGAACGCAAGCGCGAGCGCAGGCGGGCGCACCGAAACACCCTCGAGCTAGTGCGGGCGCGAAGCAGCTGAGTTCTGCAAAGAAACGAAAGATGGTGGATGGAGACGCTAGTGTTGTCAGTGGCCGGTCTGGGCCCGCTAAGGCAGTGAAGATGCGATGAACTCCGTAGGTTCTCCGGTGGCCGTGCTACAAATGTGTACTTCTCCGAACAATTCAGCCAGCTGTGCTCTGACTCCGTTTTACGAGCAATTTATGCAGACTCAAAATCCGATCGCACCGTCGTCCATGCAGCCATGCCTGCCGCACTCAACAGTGACCTAGGTCGTTGTCATCGACTCACCGGGGGTTCGATCCCCAGATACGCACCACTGCTTTTTCCTCTCCTTTGCTTACGAAGTTCTACGTGGCATTGACAGAACTCAAATACAGCGTAGCCTTCGGCAGAAGCACACAAGGAGGCAGTTTGTGATCGGGAGGCAATACGGAACTGAAAGCGAGGGCTTGTCTATCCATATATTCTGTGACTCTGTCCACAACTTCTCGGCCACTCCCATCGACCTTGCACTCGCTTTGCACACCTTCTACCCATGTCCTGGACTGATTTCAAGCCATTCCGCCCGTCGTTGCCAACGGAAACTGAAGAGAACATCATCGATCTACTTTGGGATGACGTTCACGCTCTCCGTTCTTGCTCTTTGACCTGTCGCGCATGGTTGCCTCGTAGCCGCCTCCATCTCCTCTACGCCATCATTCTTCGGAATAGAGAGCATCTGATTGCGCTCCAGGACACTCTCGAGAAGTACCCTGCCAGACGACTCTTGGTGCACTCGGTGACCACCGCGCCGAAGCCCAGGAAATCAAGTCCGCGCTCACTCATCGAAGTCTTCCCCCTCGCGTTGCTGATGCAACTATCGAATCTGCGATGTTGGAAGATCAGTCAAACGACCACGAAGGTGATCAAACGTCGGGAAGCGCTCTCATTCCACCGCACGACCCTCACCCGTCTGCGATACTCTTCGATAGACGAGCTCCATCTCACCTCCATCCGCCTTGCCTCCTGCACGGAATTCATACGTCTCATTCTGGCCCTCCCCCGCTTGCGAAAGCTTCATTGCGATGACCTGCATCTCGCTGCGGTCGGCACTGGTCTGGATTCGCTGAAGGACATAGCTAGCGATAGATTGGCGAACTTGTCCATTCTAGAAGTGGGTTGTCGTCTTGCGTGGGTCCCCCTCGCGTCTACATGGAGTCAGCAACTGACGATTAAATGTCCTTGTATCAGCTTACCCGAATGAAGGCGGCCGACGTCGACCTTCTGTTAGGAGTGACGTGCAAAAGCTTGCACAGCATCTCCATTGTCCACATTAAGGGAGCGAAGTTCAGTGCCGGTGCGTTTATTATGCAACCCATGCAGAGTATCACTAGACCCTTAACGAGGCATAGTGCCTCTCCCGACCACCGTCACGCCGTCGATGTCGCAGTTATCTTCCATCACTCTCGGGTGGAGAGCACAGCCGAGAGAGCAGCTCGACAACGCGCTGACAGCCATCTGCCGCAACCTCTCGTCGATTCGGCTTCATTGGGCCCCACACCTTACAAGCTTTGGTATAACGCTTCATTTGGAGAATGTCGGGCAGTGGGGCAGCTTGATGAAGGGTATCATGCTAGAGAGCATGCTGGAAGATTGTCTGTCAGAGCAGGGCCTCCGCATAGAACAAGCTTTGGCCGACCATCGTCTGAGCCAATTCCTTATCTCCTTGCATTTTCCTCCGGAGTGGATTCTATCGGGTGCTCGGTGGAAGTCTATACTGGAAAACGCCTTTCCCAACCTGTACGGGCGCAAGATACTCAAGATACAAATATTTGGGGGTAAATCTGAGCGCTTATTAGTATGCCTGTGTCATGCTAATCAGCCTACAGGTCAGCCTATGACCATGGTCAGGAACCAAGGTGCCAGCGTGAACGCCATCACAGTATCCCCAGACTCGAGATGGATTGCCACAGGATGCTGGAACCAGACTGTCGTTCTGTGGAGAAACCGCAGCGGCCTCGGTGAGGCTACATTTGCGTGGCGCGGCGACTCTTCTTCTCCTCAATCCCTAGCTTTTTCGCCAGACGGCGGTCGTCTCGCCTATCCTGCTTCCGGTCGTACTGCGATCGCGATCAGAAATACCACCTCGAGCGATCTTCTGGCGACACTTCGAATGAACGAAGCTGCAATAGATGACCTCACGGTTTGGAACAGCCGCTGCATGTGTGTGTGGTCTCCTGACAGCTCGAGGCTTGTCGCCGTACACCGGACAGCCGGCGAGATGTCGCGATCGTTTGCGTATGTGTGGGACGCGGAGACGTACGCAGCATTACGGACCGTCGCAAACGGTGAACCGACACCGCCGATTCAGCTGCTTCCAGGCTTGACAGTACTGCCGCCCCTTGCTGTATACTATTCTTCGGACGGGTTGCGCCTCCTAGGCGCAAAGTATACCCAACAGGAATGGAGCTCTCCATCAGCCCAGTGCCCAATGGAGGTCAAGATCGATGTCTGGGACGTCGTGACGGGGGTCTCGCATCGGCCTCCCAAGAACGGGGCCGTCGAAGGGCCCGCGAGATCTTTGGTTTGTTGTGCTGCCGCGCTTGATTCGCAGGCGACACAATGTGCTGTCTGGGTCTTCGGCGATACGATTCACCTCTTCGACCTTACGCAGGGAGGACTACAATGGGCGACTTTGCGTCATGCAAGCAGGATGGACACCCACGATCAGCATCTTATGTTCTGTTCTACAGGCCAGCGACTACTATCCTGGCACACCCGGAGACCGACTCCGGATCTCCCGTTCATCCAAAGCCACGGGACGTCTCTGAAGCTCTGGGACACGCGGAGTGGCGAAGACGCCACCTCAGGATCGAGTCGCTTTAACGGCCTGTCTATGAACCATGTCTGCTTCTCCCCTGACGGACAGCACTTCGTCACCGCCAGCGCGGACAGCCCGCTCGTGGATGTATGGAAGGCATCTGACGGATCGTGGTCGACCTCCTATTCGATCCCTCAGCCTGCGCACGACTTTGACTACCCCGAGCAGATCACCTTCTCCGCTGATGGAACCCGCCTATGGGTGGGGACGTTCCGTGGACATATCTACTCCTTCCCACTATAGTGATTCACGGGTCCTTGGGACAGCCAGATCTTGAACCCTGTATTAAGCCGACCCCTCTCCCTTCTGTTAAAATCGGAGTATGTAGTAATATGGAACATCATATGAAGTATGCTCATCTGTAATTGTGGGATGAGCCAAGGGCATATGAAGCAGATCGAGGCGCGCTTAATTTCCTTGCAGCTTCTAGACATCTAAACGCCCGTCCCAACGAGCGACGTCCCGCCGTTGACTAAACCTCGAAAAGCTGCAATCAGGATGATATAAATGCAATGCTCATGCGTAGCTGATTCGTGCAGGATCTTCAATAATGGGGTACGCAATATCTTGTCGTGAACCAGTCGCACGATTGCTTTTCTCAGGAAATCCTCCACAACAATCGAGGTAACGACTTCATGAATCCGTCTGATCGTCTGGAATTCAGGGGCATTGCAGGTGCAAAGAGATTATATACATATATGAAGTATTTCTGGTCGGTGGATAGGGAGGGGAGCGGCAAAATGGGCAGTGTCCCAAGGACCGGTTGATCACTGTGCCCCTCGCCGCGAGCAGCCCCATCGAGCACGTGACCAGAGCCAGTCCTCACCCACCTATCGTCCCGGCCACACAGCTCACGACGGCACACCACACAGGCAAGGCTCCTACGCCGAGGATAGAGATAGAGGATGGCGAGATGAAGAAGCTAGTAGTACAGGACGCCGATCGTACAACAGATGCACCAGTACCCGAAAGACAGGAGAGAGAGCACGAGATGCGACGGCACGGACGGGGCGGAGAGCGGGACGGCGAGTATAGAATGCTAGTATGGTAGGGGGCGCGGGACGATGCAGGGGACCGGAGCGGGGGGAGGCGACGAGGGGCACGTAGCATGTCCGCCGGGGGTCCAGGGGGGATATGGGGGTGATGGATGGGGAGGGGGTGGGTGGGGGATATGGGGGTACGGTTTTGTAACAATAGCGGTCGTGATGGGGACGTGAACGTGAACTATTTCATGATCATCGACGGAACCCGACCGGATGATGGCGGCGACAGCGCGTGAGGGGTAAAGGGTATGTAGGAGGAAGGGGACGAGGACATGAGCGGGAACTATGCACGGACCAAAACGTGACGGCCCCCACGGGGGGCTCTGCGTCACCTATCTACGACGAAGAGGATAGACAGATAACAGTCCGTGCGGGTCGTGATTCATGAAGTCGTGGCTCGTGGGTTAGACCATCTCCAGGGCGTTGAGGCCGGCGGGGACAGGGTGCCGCTCGGTGTCCATGGCGCGCTGGTGGAGTGCCCGAGCGTGCTTGTCACTGTTCATCGGAGCACGTCAGTATGAGCTCTGCACCCGACAAGGGGGCATAGAAGGACGTACGGCCTGTTGAGGATAGACTCTGCGCCGGTGAAGAATAGGAGATCGTACAAGAAGGTGCCGACTGTTGTGGTGGGCGTGTTAGTCACCGATGTGGGGGACGACGATACCGTAGACGGGATACGCACCGAGCGCACCAACGATGGGAGCGATGACCGGGCACCACAGCCAGTACTGGCTCCTGAACGAGAAGACTAACACACATGAATCAGCACGGTGGAGCAAGGCAGCGCGCACGACACTGCTTACCGGCACCTCCATAGCCGACCATAGCGGTCAAAAGCCTGGGGCCGAGGTCACGCGCAGGGTTGATGGCGTAGCCTATGAGGACGATGCGTCAAAAATGGTCAAGGCTTCGACGGCAAGGCGGCGTACCAGTCTGCATTCCCAACGCAGCACCAATGCCAAGGATCAGGATGAAGAGGACGAGGGGGACGAGACCCGGGGGCGGGGGGCCGTTCCTCGAGTCGTTGATAGCACAGACGACGATGAGCAGCACGGCGGTACCGAGGAACTGGTGCGACGTTAGGCCAGATAAGCGAGGAATATCAACGCAACTCACCTCATCAAACCACGCTGACACAGAGGTCATGTACGGGAGCTGGTAAACAGCTGCGTCAGTAGACGATAAACGACTGCAAGACTACGTATCAGACATACAGCGTACGTCGAGAACAACCCGGCGGTCCCGGGAACGGTGCGGATGTGTCGTCCACCCTCGACGAGATCGATGGCATGGATGTAATTTGCGTAAATGATCCCGGCGCCGCACAGTCCGCCCATGAGCTGGGCGAAGATGTACGTTGGGACCTTGCGCCAGGGGAAGTCCCGGAACGTTGCGAACGCAATGGTCACCGCGGGGTTGATGTGGCCTCCAGAGATGCCTGAAGAGACCCACACGCCCAAAGCGGTGCCGACGGCCCATCCGAAGTTGAGGGACAGGTAGTCCTGTGAAGCGCAGGGCGGATATGAGCGTCTATTCCATGTAGCGATGCGATCGAGCCATCATTGACGAATAGAGTTTCGCCGACGGCGTTTACGGGGGACGGATGACGAAGGAGGCGTAGGTACTCACGCCGTAGACCATCGAACCAACGTTCGCGTTCTTGGAGAGCTGTGTCTGGCAGTCGACGCCAGCACCGAAGATGATGAGGATCATGACGCCGAAGAACTCGGCGGCGGGCTCCCGGATCCACTCGCTGGAAAGATAGGGGGTGAGTTCACACAGTGATGAGAGCCTGGGAGGCGTTGTGCTCACCGGACCCGAGACCATCTGTTCGGGTATTTGGTGTAGTGGGCGAGGAGATCCGGGTCGACATGACCGTTGGCGGTGGAATGGCTAACCTGGGTAGAGGCGTCGACATCTTCGATGTGATGGGCGCGGCTCTCCTTGGACTCGGCGGAGGGTTGGGACCGCTTGAAGTGGATAGAACGCCAAGACATGATGCTGCTCGAGGAAGGGGGAACACTGGGGAGTCGGGACTGAGGACAGGACCGCAGTGGAGAGCGGGCAATAAATACTTGGAGGAGTCGAGGACAGGGCGAAAGAGGTTATCTACGGAGAGCGTGACTGGTGCGGGCTAAAAAGTAGATGCAAGCTGGGCCTGAAAAAGAAAACACGGGCACCGGTGATGCATAGGAGAGAACGGCCGAGGGAGTTCGGAGGAACAGTCGGGACGGTGGGGAGTGATGGCATGACGCGAGGCTGCTGATGTTGTGCAGAATGAACAGCTGCAGTCGCCGGTGCAGCAGCTGGTGCAGCAGCTGGTGCAGCAGCTGGGGCAGCAGCTGGTGCACCCCGTGGGCTGCCCCCGGCCGAGGCAAGCTTCATCTCTTTCCCCACCCATCCGGCTCTTCGGCCCTGATCGCGCGCCACACCAGATCCCATCAGATCCCTCCGTGAACTCGGCCGCGGCTGCCTCTTGCGTCCGACGTTCTCGATTATCCTCCCTTTCTCACGCTCTCTCATCCTCCATTGAGGTATTCTAGGCGCGTCCCGAGCCATGAGCCCGTCTCGCCTTCCGCAACGTAATATCCTGCCCAGCAAACCACGCCTCCCGATTGTGCCCTGCTCTTCCATACCCTTACGGCCGTTGCTAGCTACAGTGACTCCCAGTGCGACGCTCCGTTTAACTTGATTAGACTCTTTGCTTGAGGTTTTTTCGTGTGATCCGCCAAGGACTCTGTCGTAAATCGTACGTATACGTCTCCCAATCACCGTCCAGGTGCTAGGCTCGGCTTTCCGTCGACTTTCGTCGTTCGCCGCATATCGAGGGACACATTTTGACATGTCGCATGTATGACCAGCGTGACGGAAGTACATGTCCACCCTCTGTATCCTCATACCGCGCAGCGTCCATTTTGCCCTCAATGCGTTTATCCTCTCCCCTTGCACATATCCGGATCCGTCTGATCACCTCCAGAGTATCCTATCTTCTTTCGCACGTATGTAGTTCTGACGAGACCGCAAGACGTATCCTGTCACGCTCTCTTCTCGGCGCTGATACGACGCTTTAGTCTATCCGTAGGTGATGAATCCGCTGGTCATGGGGACTCTCCCCCTTTCCAAGAATCGCATCCTCTTCCGCTACGGATGGCCGCCTACCCACACAATACGTACCGGAGAACGTGTAGAGACTTGCGGAGGCGATTAGCGATGTCTCGAGCGAGCAACACACCACGCATTCCCGCCCCTCCACTGATTCCAGTATTGTACTATCAGTCGTTACTTTCCGGCGGCTCCTAAGCGCTTGATTTTACGGGTGCCTCGATCGCTTAAGTTGAGGCAACAGTTCGGACTCGAGGCACGCGCCACAATGTGATCGGACCATACATGCCTATAATCTGTGCAGCCTGTGCTTGAAGTCTGTAGATCGGAGCGCGGCCGTCACGAGGCAGTCGGCGGCTCCGCTACAGGCAGGGTTATTGCGGTCTGTGACCGCAGGAAGATGTGAGTTCCCATCCTATGGACTCCGAGCCTCTCTGGCCCCTGTAACGTCGAGTGCATGCGAATGTCCGTCTATTCTCGTCCGGTTCCTGCACCTCATGGCTTGCCATAGCGATAGAACACTTCCCGCTTTCGATCACGATAGCATTTCGCCGAGTCACTCGGATGACTTGCAATCTTCCTCGCACTCTGTCCGAAATACGTCAAGCAACACAATCAACTCTTCTACTGCCTTGGGATCCATTTACGTTGGCACCCTGCAACGCCAGTTTACCTTGCCCTCGCATCCTTCGAATGCCTTCGAAGCTCGTGCGCATATGCATGCCTGTTTCTCGAAGCCCCGTTCGAGTGCCTTCCGAACCTTAACCCTGGTCCCTGGTTAGGCGTGGCGTAACGGGCGCCTTTGTGCGCAGCGGCGGCGGCGGCAGTGGCCTCTTCGCGGCTGTCCTTGGCTTCCACTCGCTCTTCTCGACTATCCTTGCCGTATTCACAGCAATCTGCTTACCATCCGAATCACTCCCAGATGTCTATGTTAGACAAGTTCCGCAAGGGCGCAACCAAGGCCGGCATCCAGGCGTCCGCCTTCCTCAAGGAGGGCTCGAACAAGCTCGCGAACGAATCCCAGCACTTCGTCCAGGGATTCACCCTCCCCGGCGAGGCTGAGAAAGCGGCCAAGATCCTTGAAAGCTTCCTCGGTACGTTATTTTCGAGGGTACGTCCTCTGCGGCCTGCGAATAGTAATACGACTGGCGTCCAGCCGACCCAGAGCATCCCGAGTCCGCCCTCAACTCCATCCCCAAAGTCGTCCTCCAGCGCGCACGCGGTACGTACACCCCACCCCTTCTCTCCTTCTCCTCGTCCCCACCGTGTCCACGACGCAGCACTTACCCAACCGTCCCCCCTCCTCCGTCGCCGGCCTTCACTTTGGCTCGCATCTGCGTCATCCCACACGCAGGCCTCGCGATCTTCTCCGTCATCAAGGCCGGCTTCGTCTTCTCCGGCAAGGCAGGCTCGGGCATCGTCATCGCGCGCCTGCCCGACGGCTCGTGGTCCGCGCCCTCGTGCATCGCGACGGGCGGCGTCGGCTGGGGGCTCCAGATCGGCGCGGACATCACCGACTTCGTGATCGTGCTCAACAGCGAGGAGGCCGTGCGCGCGTTCGCGCTCGGCGGGAACGTCACCATCGGCGGGAACATCTCCGCCGCCGCGGGCCCCATCGGCACGGGGGGCGCGGTGCAGGCGACGCTGGCGCACCCCGCGCCCATGTTCTCGTACTCGAAGTCGAAGGGTGCGTTCGCTGTCTCTTGCTCTTTCTCGGCGCGTGAGCCCTTCTCTCGCGTCACCCTGCTACGTCATCCTGCTGCCCCTCGGAACTTCCTGGGCTCTGTACGCGTGTATCTGGGCTGCGCAGCGCTGCCAGTGCGAAGAGAGGGTGGCGAAGACGCGGCGACTGACGTAACCTACCCGCACAGGTCTCTTCGCTGGGCTCTCGCTCGAGGGCACGGTCCTCATCGAGCGCAAGGACGCGAACAAGGACTTCTACGGCTCTGCCGTTCCTGCCCGTGACATACTCGGCGGGCGCGTGCCCCCACCCGAGGTCGCCTCGCGGCTCTATGAGGTCATCGAGGCCGCGGAGGGCGTCGACGAGAGTGGGCTTCCGGAGAATGCGTATGTGCCCACCGCAGAGGGCGACCATATGGACATCCGGCACGGCGGCATGGTTTTCGATGCCGAGGGACACTAGATGGCTCTGGAGACGCGAGGAACATGTCGTCGGCTGCGTCGGACCACGATGTCTATGAACGGGGGACTGGGTGGATGTCATCAGGAGGGGGGCAGGATTGGTGTGACGCCGCAATGGTGATGCCTGAATGACTTCTACGACTCTAATGTAGTTCTATGCCCGTATTCTGCTGTGAACCACCACTGAGGTTTTCGAATCTCACCTACTTGTCCCTTCGTGCTATGTACGATATTTTTTTCCCTATGAAACGAACATACTCTGATGGCCCCTATGTCTGACTTGCATGCGGGCCTTGTGAGTAATGATGGCGCGACATCATGTATACGCCGGAGGACGACGTTCGTTGAATCTCGACCGCAAATTCCGAAGGTCTGGCCCTGCTATGTCTCGGAACTCGGACCGGGATTTAACCACTCCCGGAGTCTGCTCGAGCCTCAATGTTCAAGCTCTCCCAACATCGGCCGTCAGAACGACAGGTCGACATTGTATCAGTCGCCAGGCACGATCCACGGTCCAGAATGTTCAAGTGCCTGAAGACAGTCGCAGCAAAAGCGAAGGGAGAGACTACATACATATGCCAGTACTAGTACGGTTACAGCGAGAGGTGAGACTGTCCAGTTCAGCATGCGTCGGTCATACATAGGAGTCCGTTTATCGTACGCAGGTCATGTCAACCAAAAACCAAAATCACGGGCCACGGCGGCCGCGCTCGCCGATGAGAGAAAAACAGGATCGAGGGTGGTGCCTTGCGCCGCGATCACCACTCTGATCGCGTGTCGGGACCGAAGCGTCCAGATTCGAGGAGATCCCAAGGCGCAGCGGCGCATCGGCGCATGCCACGCGATCGTCGGCCTCGTCACCCGCAACGCTTCGAAAGCCGACCCACCTCCACCTCCACCATCTCCTCCACGCCTCACGTACCGCTCCAGGTAGAGTTAGCCCGCGTCCTGCGGGGCACGAGCGCGCCCCACTGCTTCCCCGGACCCCTGTCTCTAGTCCTCTCCAGGTTCCCCCAACGCACCATCTTTAGGATCCGAGCCGCTCGACCCCGCATCGCCGTCTCAGCTAAGAGCAGTCGACCGCCCGAATCAGTAGCGCGCATCCCACGGATTCGAGTACGAAGGCTGGTACCCGCTCTGATAGCCCACGGAGTGCATGTTGTATGCCTCGGGTGCGGGCTCGTGCAGCGGCTGGTAGGTCTGGCCCATCTGGAAGAAGGGCGCACGGGGGCCCTTGCGACGGCGCGTGACGCAGCACGCGACAATGCCCCCGACGATGAGCAGCCCGGCAGCGACCGAGAGGCCGATGACGAGCTTGAGGTGGGCGCGGATGCGGTCGCCGAGGGACGCGCCTTCAGGCGTCCAGGGGGAGTTGCCGCGGACTTTGACGAAGTCGGAGTGGGCGTCGGCCGAGTTGTTGGTCGTGGACAGGAGTTGGACGTAGGGCTCTTTGGTCTTGTCTGTGGAGCCTTCGACGAAGTCGCCGAAGTTGATGTAGGTGTATACATTGCGAACTGCGGTGGGGAGTGTCAGCTGTGGTGAGACATGAGCGGAGACTCCGAGCACGTACGGAAAGCCATGCCGAAGATAGCGTCGTACGTGGCGTCACTTTGGGAGCTCATGGGCTGGAACTAGTAGTCGTCGGTGAGCAATGACAGTGTCACGAGAGCATTCATACGTCAGACGTACCGCACCAAAACATACGTGATTGCCTCTCGAATCCGTCAGATTGAGGTCGATATTCGCGTCTAGGGGGTGGATAGGGAAGCTCTTCCCACCGAACTTGAATGTGACATTGACCTCCTTGTCACATGGGAGCTGCCAGATGTTACCGCTGACTTCCTGCCGGCTAACGAGCTGCGAGCCCGGGATGTCTTTGTAGAACGCCTCCGCTACCGCTCTGCACTGGTCTGAGCAGCATGCCCTGCGCAGGGAGCCGGGAGTACTTACGACGGAACCTGAGGTAAAGAGTACCCCGTGTCTAATACGACCTAAGAAAAGCGAGCGTAAGGAGCGGTGTCGAGGTCAAACACAAAGAGTAGCTCACCGTCAACTGCTTCTTGTTAGACGTCGAGCTAACAGCGGTCTGGACGTTGTATTGGTCAATCACGTTATTGCCTGCCGGACCAACGATGCCATCCGCATCAAGCAAGATTTGCCAATGCTGATTCACGGAGTTCTGGCTGGACAACACAGAGACATTGAGGAGGGGTTGTGGCGTGATTGCCTCGTAGCCAGGTATGATTTCTCCAACAGTAATGTCACCGGTAGGCGACTCTGACGGGTCGTCGACTCGTCCTAGCAATACGGTGATGTAGTTTGGAGTGGAGGTATTCTGCTTGAATATTCTGTCCAGCACAGCGTCTCCAGCCGAAGTACCTATCGCCTCAGACACTTGAGAACCGGTGTTAGGACCGAGTCCTATGAGGCCGCTCCCATCGGGATTTTCTTGTGAAGCGGAGACACTGACTATGAGCACGCGCAGCTTAGATGGGAGAATCAGGGGAGAAGCAAGGGTATATGCGTACTGTACGCCTGATCGGACACCGTGTTTCCCGTGAAGTCCAGCGCTGCTGTCATGATGGAACCTGCGAGGTAGCTGTCGACCATGTATCGAACGAACGCAAGTCGATTGCCTACCCTCAACTTCACCTACGGCATAGGTGACCTTAGCGGATTTTCCCGTGTTCTGAGCGTTTGGTACATCCCCTACCACCCACAAGTCGGAGCTACGTATGCGCCAGACGTATGTCGATCGCTGTGCCAAGTCTCAGTGTGTGATAAACACGTACCTTCCGGTGTCAATCTGGACAGTGAACTTCTTGCCACCCAGAGTGATGTCCGTAGTATACTCTACATCCCCAACGTCGGACACGGACGATGTTCCAACTATACCTGCTCTCCGTGCTAGCTCTGAGGTAGGGCGAGCTCGAGGTCTTCCGTGAATGTTCAACCGCACAGCACTAGCAAGATCGCAAGCCAAGCCAAACAAGAAGGGTATCGCGAGAGATGCAGGCCTCATTGTGGTCAGATAGAAGGGGTATCAAGAGACTGGGGATACTGCGTTGCTTGTGGCGGTGGGCATGGCGGTACCACGGTCCAGGCGGCTGTCAGAACGCCGGGCAGAACGGCCACTGCGCAACCTCGTTTCGGTGGAGCCTGTTCTCAACGCAGTCTGAACAGTGGTATCTCCATACGCAATTGAAATCCGAAATCAACGAACTTGAACGCAGCTGTACAGCAGGAGGCTCTGAAAGCAGGAGAGTAGTCGCGTGACGAAAAGGGACGAGACCCGGGATGGGCATGCGACGCCGCCAAGTGCACTGCCGCCCACCCGGGTCCCTTCTCCCTGTCTCTGACATCCTCACCAGCAACCACCACTTCCCTCGTCTCAATATCCCACACCGCCCTCAAGCCTTGGGCATCCCATTCCTTACGGCTCTGGAAATATAGACCGCATGTGGTCTTTCCTTCCTGTCCTTTCCTTACTCCTCCTTGAGCTCGATGCTCATGTCCATGCGCTCACCTTCGACGTCCATGTGCGTCGACGCGCAAACGCCCTAACTGCTCGCGACATTTCACATATCACCTCCGTCGCCAACACGCACAACTCAGAATACATTGCCAATATCACCCTCGGTGGTCGTCAAATCCCCGTTCTGTTGGATACCGGCAGGTAAACACTTTCAGCCCGTCGCTATATCTTTTCGAGGAATACTTAATCCCCTCTAGCTCTGACCTATGGGTGACTGGCTCGATTCCGAACTCCAAAGATGTCGGGAAATCCGTTTCCCTGAGCTATGCTGTGGGGAAGGCCGCAGGTGAGGACGTCAGCCGCGAGCATCAGCCGCGCTTGCTACTAAATACATGTTCTGCACAGGTGACATATATACTGCAGACTTGCAGTTCGCTAACTATACCGTTACTGACCAGGCATTCTGTGAGTGTTCTCTGTCTTGGTGTCTTGCGCCGCATCTCGCTCGCCTTTGGTCTTCCGGTGGACAGAACGAGCTATCCACTTCCAGCCTGACCTGGTGCATTCTTCGTGTTGCTAGTCTGGCCCATGTTTGATCGCAATTTCGCTTCCAAGACGTCGCCACTATGCTCCCAGATTCACGTCACCTATCAGTAGAGCGGGATGCTAGACATTCATGTTGAGCTTGCTCTCGTCCCTGAGAGAATGCATTAGAAGAATGCAGTCTGCCAACAGCCAATCTATCCAGCGACCAGGCACAAGGCGCTAATGGCCGTTCTGAGAGTTTTATATAGCTATTTGACACATCCGTTCTGGCAGGTTGTGTTCAGCTGCTGATGCATCCCCACAGTGCTGGTCCAGGATACCTCCTCGTTCTCGGTGGACATTTCCTCACAGGGATACGAGGGCCTCATTGGCTTGGGTCCTAACACAGGATCCGTTATCCGGGACAAGATTGATGATGCAACTGGAGACAGCGTGCTCGATCGCATTTTCACCCAAAATACTACTAACGCCAACTATCTTACCGTGCTGCTCAATCGCGAAGGCGACCCAACAAGTCCCGCCACGGGTCAACTGACAATCTCGGAGACGCTCCCCCAGTACCCCAATATCACGAGCATGCCCAAGCTGCCCGTCACGAAGGTGCACAAGCTAACTGACGAAGACCAGCACTGGCAGGTATTGACGGACGTGAATGGCGTCATTGGCCCTGACGGCCAACCCATCCAAATCGACTCGATTGTCCCGAGTGCGCCCGATGGCCAGCTTGTCGCGGTATTCGATTCGGGTTTCACCCTTCCCCAAGTGCCTCGTGCGATGTCGGACGCCATCTACGGACGTGTCCAAGGTGCAGAGTACAACGAGGCATCGCAGGTCTGGACGGTGCCTTGCGACCAGCTCATCAACTTGACGATTAAGTTCGGCGGCATCGAATACCCCATTCACCCTCTCGATGTTTCGAGCAGCGATTTCGACATGGTCGACTCGACAGGTAACCCCGTCTGCGTCGGAACGTTCCAGCCGATCACGTCGGCGTTCAGTTTGTTGGGAGAGTACGATATTATTCTCGGCATGGCATTCAGTACGTTGTGCAGCATCCCCTTGCATATTCAATTCGGCGCTGACGCAAGTCTGCGTAGTGCGTAACACGTACACGCTCTTTGACTACGGCAACTTCATGGAGAACACCGCCGCCGACCGCGGCGATCCGTTCATTCAGCTCCTACCTCTCACTGATGTGAATGCGGCGCACAAGGACTTCGTTCAAGTGCGGCTGAACGGGGTCGATACTACCGGTAATTCGGCGCACGCCCTCCTTCCCGCTTCCCAGATGAAGCACTCGCCTATCTCTGAGGCCGAGAAGAAGAAGCAGTAAGTACGAGAAGGTGACCGGACTTCCACCCGTTCTCACTCACTCCGTCTATGTGTAGGTACGAAGAGATGATCCTCAGTCGCTGGCCCTACATTTTCGTCGGTTGCCTTGCATTTGTCCTTATCGTCGTTGGCCTCGTCGTCTGGCGCTGCTGCGTCATCCGCCGCAAGAAGAGGGAAGCGAAGTCTAAAAGCATACGTCTCCCCGACACAAGGCAGCGCTCCCCCGCCGCTCATCAGGTCTCGTTCATGCACGCCAACGACAGCGCGATGGAGATGGGGGACAGCAAGCCCCACTTCGACTCGGTCTACCGCGACTCCGAGTACCGGGCTTCCTACGCGTCCAGCCGCACCCGCGTGTGATTCCTCCTCCGCTTGTGCGCATCCATGGACTCGTCCCCCGGGTCGCCACCTGCACTTCCGTGAAGAAGAGACTCGGACTTCGAGAAGTTGTGTTACTGCCTCCATTGCCTCACCTAGCCTACGTCGTATCCTACCTCCACCTCCGCTGCTGTAGCTCGATCATCGTCGCTCTGCCTCTGCTTGTCCCTCGCTCGCTTGCCTCCCTGTATTATACCTACATAATCTGTTGCTCGCATCCTGCAGCGATCCCGGTTTCTTGGGTACTTCTCAACCGCTGGCAGTCCCGCGTTCTTCGGGGTCTTTCCTTCTTTCCCCCTTCTGCTCTAATACCACCGCATATCATCTGGAGCAGCTATCGTAGCTCGTACACTGCTTCAACTCCTTGATAATCTCTTCATCGCGCCTGTGGACAGGCTGCTCGTTCCTTAGGTAGTCCGTCTGCATCGCTACAGGCGTGTGGGTCCTTCCACCCTCTTACTTACGATTTGTCATTGTCTCGTTTCGATCGTCTTGGGTTGGTCATGTGTACAACAATGAACAGGCAGGGTCACCTTGCTTTGCCATCATCCTATTCTTGGTGGAGTCAGGACCGACGGTCGAGAAGAGTCCCCTGTACCTACTACCTATCGGTTCAAGGCGGGCTGGAAGCCATACGTAGGTGATTCGAGCTCGGCCAGTCAGCCTGGTTGCTCCAAGGAATCGTAGCTACGCCAGGAGAATCTGAGAACCTTAATAGCCAGCAGATCGAAGCGAACTATTGTTCAGGTGTCTAAGGTATCAAAACAGCGATATGCTGAGCGGTATCATATGTGCAACTAGAAGGACCATAGCATACGCTCCATACAGCCAGTGCGCAGCGTCTTCAATGCACGATATCTACCGCAATGCGCTGTCCTCGGATCCCGTACGCAAGCAGGGCGTTGTCCTCGCCGACAATGACCATGATAGTCCCTCCGCACCTCTTTCCAGCATGCCTCTCGTCCGGCATGCGATGCGCATGCCGCACTTCGTCATCCGCCCTCTTGGGCGGCATCCCGCCGCACGTACATGGGTACTTGTATACGTGGTCCATCGTTCCGTGCTCGTTCTTGTACTTGAACAGGCAATGCCCCATCAGCGCGTTGTCCAGCCTGTATCAGTGGAAAGACGAATCTCAGCAACGGTGCCACGCAACGAAGAGAGGAAGGAGATGAGAAGTGGAGACCCACCGGAAGCCCAAGTCCTCCATCTGCTGCCGGAGCTTGTCCTTCCTCGCCACTTCGGCGATCTTCGGCTGCGCCACGATCGAGTAGCTCCCATAGAACTCGAGCACGCCCGCCGCCTCCCTTCCAGGTCCGGCCATCCGGACCTTATGCTGCACGAGCGCGTCCTGTAGCGCGGCGAAGAACGCGTCGGGCGTCGAGTAGCACACTCCGCCTTGGTTGCGGGTCGTCTCGACGCGCCACCAGTCCGTCTTGTCGTCCGCTACCTTCCTATCTTTCTTGCCCGCAAAGTGCGCGGCCTTCCATTTCGCGAACCAACGCTCGAAATCGCGCTGGCGCATCTGCTTCGACACACGCTTCTTGCGCTGCTTTGAAGTGGAGCGGATATCGGGGTCGAGTGCCGGGGCTGGCAGCTTGCCCATGGGGTTAGTTACGCTTGAAGGGCGAGGCGGCAGAGGTTTGGGTGCTCTCGACGCCTCTTGTGTATTCTCTATCTTGCGCGATAGGGCCTTGAGCTGGCACATCGTGCACTGGTCCCTCTTCCCTAGCATCTTCACTCCGCACGACACGCAGCGAGGTGCGCGTTCAGGGTCGGGCGCAGGTGCCGCAGGGAGCGACTCGCGATAGCACATAGTGCACATGCCGTTCTTGCCGTAGGGGTCGATGATCCCCCCACAATCGCTGCATCGGGGCTCCATACGAGCCCCAGAAGGATGTATCCCGCTAGCCGTGTGAGAGGCGGGAGCGGGAGTCGCCGAGGAGCTACGGGTTGAGGTGGAATATCCAGATGAGATGGAGGATGCATCCACGCCTGCTACGGGACGCGGCCGGGCATGCTTCTGAGCGTCCAATTGCGCCATGATGTTAGCTGGCTTGACGAGGGGGCGAGGCCTGGGCGGGAACCCCGCAGAAACGCCGGGTGCCTGCCTAGCTCTGGAAGTGGACGCAGGTGACGGATCGCTTATGATGGGAGCAGCAGCATGCGGCTCCTTCTTCGCATCCTCGGACTTGCGTACGGATGAGTCACGTATTGGAGTGATTGAGAACACGGACTTCGCGAGCTTGGCTTTCGAGTCTGAGACGGACCGACCACTGCTGACACGCTGGACCTTGAAGGACAAAGGCCCAGGAAGATCACCATCGGCCTTGCGTTTCGTTGAGGCGGACGTCGAGCGAAAGACGGACGCGACCGATGCAGCTACGATCGCCTTCAGCTTTGGTAAAGCAGAAGTAGAAGCGAAGAATGAACCAGGAGAGGAGATGCTGGCGATCTTGGAAGAGCTTGCATTGCCTGGCTTGTGAGAGGAGACCGACGGCATGTCATTCACGCGGCGCAACTTGGAGGGACCAGGTATGAGATCCTCTGCGTGACGTTTGGAAGACACGATACGCGTCCCAAAAGGATCAGCGTGCGAAGTGGACACTGAGGAAGCCGCAGACGCGGAGTGCTCCCCACCTCCGACATGCATCTTGTTCCTGTTTGGGTCTACGCCACGATATCGTGAATCTTGGAGTTTGAGATTGCGCTTTGCGGCGAACGCAGAGCGTGGACTGAGCTCTTGTTCCATCTCCCGGTCATTAGGATCAGAGGTACGGTCGTCTGGTACGGTCGCTGGACTTGGACTGGAACCTCGCGCGATTGAGGATGTAACACCCTTGCCTTTATGCATGTTCCTTGCGTGCGTGCGAACTCTGTCCGCATTCTTGTGCTTGAACTCCCCACAAGGGCATGCAAGGAGGCCGGTCTTGACGTCGCGATGGACAGTCACTTGAGATGCTACGTATTGGAGGGGCAGGTAAATCATGAGTGCGCAAGTATGAGATTCGCCGCAGACGTACTTCCGTACCACACCTTAGTGGTACCTCTGTGGATATTGGAGACATGGGAGCTGACGTTGTGTTCGTTAGCTTGGACGTTTGGGGAGGTGGAGACGTAACTGCAAGTCTCGTACGGGCACTTTTTGGTGAGTGCATACGACTTTGCCTGGCACGTGAGCTACCGCCGCGCGCGACCGTGGCAGAAGTCACTTACAGCCATTCAAAGAAGGTACGATCAGGGTAGGCAGGGCATTTATTGTGAGCAGGCAGCTGCGGAAGGCAGATCTCGTCCAAGCTGCAGCACTGCACCCTCGGAAACGCGTCTGGGCGCCTACCACCACGCGTCCCGTCGCGCGTGGCCTCAGTGGTTTGATCAAAACCTGCAGATGACACCGTTGGGTCGGCATCTTGTGCCCTGGCTCCCAGCTTCATGCATTCTGTTCGTTCATTCAATCATCACAATCAACTCACGATAGTTGCAGGGACATCCCGGCCGCTGTGTGGGACTAACTTCCATGCCACAAGGTGGGCAGCCTTGAAACGCGATGTTTGAATGAGGCGGACCAACACATACATCTCGGATAGTACGCCCTTGTCTTCATCTTGTCATTTTTGTTCTGGGACTCATTGTTCGTGCAGACTATAAAAGAGTCCGACCAATATGGCATGCGCTCAGTCATATAAAGAGACTTTGTCTTGATGTGAACTCATAAAATTTCCACCGTCGATTCATTGCCCGGGCCTTGAGATCTCCCACCTCGTCCGATTCTACACAGTCCCAAGCCATCTATGACCCTGTGAGGTAAGAAGAAGTAAGCCAAAACTCTCGTAAAGGATGATATTTAGTGCTTATGACGACTAGATGGACTATGCTACACTCAACATCGATGTTTTGCACTCTGTGGTACCCCACCTAGATCGACGCACTGTCTCGCAGCTGACAAAGACATGTCGTATCCTAAATCTCGAGCTCGCTCGGTACCTTCTGTACGGGGAAGTCGTGATCGGGAACGAGGATTGCGTTGTGTCCTTCATGGCCTTCCTCGTGGCAAGCCGTCGCGATGGCTACGCCTATCGCCGTCTACCTTTCTTCACCAATCTGGAGCTCTCCCTCGGACCTCATCCCTCAGACGAGGTCGTTTGGTATTTGGCAGAGACATTGTACTCGATCCGGTTGCAGGCGACATACTTCACTTCCCTGGACTTGTCGTACGCGAACAGGTTGCTCTCTCCTCACCTTCCTCTCGCATTCGTCATAGCCTCTCTCACAACTTTGAAGCGCATCTTCCTCGAGGGGTTCGGAAGAAACTGTGGGTCCATGATCCGCCGTATGCAATCAGCATTACTGGACGTCAAACTATTCCGTGAAGGCAAGAACTGTCGCGAAGGCATCGAGTTCCCGCTGCTCCATCCCGACAACGATCCAATCCTGCTTCTGCAACCCTTCCATCTGACCCTCCAGTCCTTCAGAACTGACTTGCCGATACACGCTCTCCATGGACTGCGATATCTCAATATGACCACGCTTAACCTGGGTAACATCGAAAAGCCTGCTGTCTCGATCTATGTCGCAGCTTTCCCGAACCTCTTAAGGCTCGCCATCTCGTTCAGGACAACGGATGTGTTACACCCTTCTGGCGAATCGGACAATCGGCGATTGTCCATCGCTCAACAAGTCCAATACGATACCTGGCGCTCACTGGACAAAGTTGAAGGCGAACTGGATGATCTCTACATGCTAGGACTGACCTGCCCCGTGAATGAAGTTGAGATAGTTGGGATTTTCATGCCCTACCCCTTCTCCTGCTCGCCCGAGGATACCGCGCAAGCCCACATGATCCGGGAGCTGATGATGTGTGCTCGGCCTCGACGCGTTGTGCTCGGTTTTGTCGGCACCGCGTGGCTCGTTGACACTTGGAACTTCGAGTTTTTATGCGAAGAGACTGCCCTTCAATCACTAGAGTCTCTGGAGTTCCGCGTCATCGTTGGAGAACCGCATGAAGACGCGGAACACATGGAAGATTTCTTGGTGCGTATTCAATAAGAATTCCTCCGTAACGTGGATGTTCATCAGCCTGTATGCCTTCTGCAGACCTGCGTCGACATTGTGCTATCTTCACTTGGGCCAGCTCGTTTCAGCTTAACGCTGGATTGGTCGCAAGCAGAGCCGCAGATGGACGTGGAAAGTGGCCTACTCGTGACTCCTTGGGATGAGCTCCGCGATCTGGCTCTGGACGAACATGTCAGCTGTTTCTTGAGGTCATCTAGACAAGCCTCCGAAATGCATCTCGTCGGCCCCGATGGATGGAGAAGAGATGTCGTGCACTATTCTATGGCTCCTCGTAGCAGTGGCAGTGAAATTCCCGTAGCATCGGCTTCGAGCGAGGGTGCGAGTCTTGCAGGGGCATCCGCGTAGAGCAGTTGGTCGTACTGTCAATGTTTTGACCTCTCAGTTCCCATGAATTTCCGAATGAACCTCTGTATTGGGGCGAACGGGTATGATAGAACCCGACTACGTCATATCAGTGAAGTCTATATTGGAATAGACGGCAAAATGGACTCCTCGGACACGACAATCTGATGTAGTGAATACTTGCATCTAAGGCTTTGGCTTCCCATTCCTGATTTACCCAGTCTCTCTAGCCCTTCGCACACTCACTAGTCGTTGGATTCCCTCCCAAAAGAACAGTCTTTTCGCGGCACATCTCTGCGCGAGTCCTCAGTCCCTTATTAGGATTAAAACATCCATTTGGCATTCATACTTACCGACAATTGTGCGGCATACTTGCTGCAGCTGTCGCATCGCCTGGTCTACTCAGTCATCGCGGAGGTCGACCACAGCCCGTCTGATGGCACTAAGCTCTATAAGGGATTTCATGAGGTCGCGTCAGATGGCTTGCGATGGTTTGATGAGGAGCTGGTTTCGCTTGATGACAATGTCAGTGATCATGAAGATGAAGCACGGATTCCCCGCTCGAAATGGCAGGGTGGCCTGCCAGTATGGCGCTTCATTGAGCGCCCATACCGCAGGACGCTACGCCCGGGGCCGGGCGCGAAGCCGTTTAAAGATATTGAAGCACTTCCATCCCTTCCTGAACCTCGGATTCAGCGATGGATCCTGCGGAACGTATTGAGGCCGCCTCCAAGTTTCTTCTCCAATCTCCCCCAGGAGAGATCAATGACGTGCTCAATGGTAAATACCCCCGCTCATCGCTCAACCGAACTTGGACGTCTTGCTGGAGCGTGCATGACCTGAACCCCGTCGATTCCGCCAGATGTGCGGAACATCATCTCGGACGATGATTCCCTGCAATCCGGCGTGCTCCCCGCGCTGAGGGAGTACAACATCACGCAGTTTACGACTGCGGAGGTACCAGGACACCAGCACCAGGTGCGTACGCTGTGCACCACTCAGAAAATTGCAACAGGAGGGCAACCGGCTGATTGCATGGCGTGGACAGTCTATCGTCAGCAGTGCTGCGAGGATACCAGGTGCGGAAGAGGATGAAGATGGGGAGTTGTCACAGGATAGGTATTGGGATCCACGGTCAAGGACAAGCTTCCGTTTCGACCATCTGAGCTTGGTGTGTCCAATCACGTCATCCGTGCATGCTGTAGCTCTGAGACTCTGCTGAACTCTAGGAATCCTCGGACCCAGAGCCTTATGAGCCCGATGCTGAGTCTGAGCCCTTCCGGTATGTCATTCTCTCTTTGTGTCATGTGTCAGGACCCTCGATTGAGGCTTAGGCTCAAGGGCCGCCCTTGAGAATGCGTCATTACAATACCTACAAGCGCACTACCACGATGGTGTTGCATCCGTCTTCCCCGTAGCAGGCTCAAGTACACGCTTCGTGATCCAGATCGTTGCGAACAAGTACAACCCGAACAACTACTGGTATGTCTCTTCCTCTATTTCTCCGCCTCGACCCTGGCGTCGACGCCGCATCTTGGTTCATTTTCTCCGGCATTTCTAACGTCACGCAGGTCCGGTCGCTGGCGCTCCGAATACACCATCGACACCTCCACAAAGACGCTCGAGGGCAGGATCCTCGTGAACGTGCACTACTACGAGCAGGGAAACGTTCAACTCTCGACCACACACACCGTCTCGCTCGCTCTACCACCTGCGATCGCGCCCTCGGGCGGCGCGTCCGCGGCGTCGAAGGTGCTAGCGCTCGTCGAGGCCGAAGAGGGCAAGTACCAGACGTCGCTCAATGAGGCGTACGCAGAGATGGGCGAGAAGACGTTCAAGGGCCTCCGCCGTGCGCTACCCATGACGCGTTCGAAGCTCGACTGGGACCGCGTGCTCGGCTACAAACTCGGCGCGGAGCTGACGAACAGCAAGGGCGTGTTTGGCCAGCCTTCGTAAGACTTGAGGTGGTGGTGCCGCGGGCTGCTGGATGCTGGGCGCCGAGTACGAGGAAGAAGTATAATGTAACATTGTCGTGATACACAAGAGCTGCCTCAGCCTTTCTGGTTGCCCATCTGCTCTTCGGCGGGTAGCACCCTTGTGACGTTCCCTCCCAGCTCTGACCGACAAAGTGCATCCTGGTAGTGATGTGGAGTCATAAAATACATGCAGCGGTTGTGCACAGCCAATGAAAGTGAGCTAATGAGATATGGAAATCGAGTATAGTATAGCTAGTTGTGTCCTGAGCCTGTGTTTACTGGGCGGATGGTTAAGAGCCTTCACAGCTTCGAGCCACTCGTCGGGTCAGGGAGGGCGTACAACGCTTCAATATACGGCTTGAACTTGGCGTACGTCTCCTTCCTGAAATGATTTCAAACAACGTGAGTCACTGGAATGCATGCATACAAGCAAGTCATGGAGTGCTGACCTGCGGATCTTGAGCGTCGGTGTAAGACACTCGTTATCGACCGTGAACGCATCCAGAGTAACGTGGATGCGCTTGATGCGCTCGAAGCCCCTCAGCTTCCGCACGTTCGGCTCCTTGTCCATCTCCGTCAAGATCGCGTCGATGATCCGCGACTCCTTCACGTATCGCCCGAGCGCCGCCGTATCGTCCGGGCGCACGCTCTGCTTCAGCACGCGCTGCACGAGGTCCGCGAGCTGCACAGGGTCGGGCACGACGACGCCGACGAGGTACGACTGGAGCGAGTCCCCGTACACGAACAGCTGCGCGATGATCGGCACCGACGCGTACACGTTCTCGATGTTCTCGAGCGCGACGTACTCGCCCTGCGCGAGCTTCATGATGTTCTTCACGCGGTCGATGATCTTGAACCGCCCCTGCTCGTCCAGCGTCGCGATGTCGCCCGTGTGGAGCCACCCCTCGGCGTCGATCGTCTCCTGCGTCTTCGCCTCCTCCTTGTAGTACCCGATGAAGCGCTGCCCGCCGCGCATGAGGAGCTCCCCGCGCGGGAAGGGCTTGTCGGTGACGCGGTAGCCGAGCTGGGGGACGTCAATGAGCTTGATCTCGGCTGAGGCCACGGGCCCGCCGACGGTCCCGCCCGCGGTGGGATCGTACGGCCAGCAGGTGGTGCAGCAGCCGCCGTTCTCGGTCATGCCGTAGCCCTCGCGAATGTCGGCGAGGAGACCAATCTTGAGGAAGTCGCCGATGTTCTTGCTGAAAGGCGCGGAGCCGCAGCCGATCATCTTGACGCGGCCGCCTAGGACGTTGTTGATCTGTAAATCAAATGACATGGATCAGGGAAGGTACCGATACAGAGGTGTCGAAGGAGGTACCTTGCGGAAGACGAGACGGTCCCAGAGCGGGTGGGTGAACTGTCCGGTAGTCTTCAGGTTGTGCAGCTTCGCCGCGACGGCGGCACGGAAGATGGCACCACGGATGCCGGGAACATCTCCGGCCGCGATCGCAGACTGGTACACCCGGTTGAGGACACGAGGGACGAGCGGAACGTAGTGCGGCTTGAGGATCTGGATGTCCTCCAGGAAACGTAGGGGGTCACCAGTGGTATAGCCGATGCTCTTGCCGATGGCGACGTTAGTTAGTTCCATGACGCGCTGGTAGATGTGGGCTAGCGGCAGGAAGGACATGGCTACTTGCCCCTCCTGGTCCTCAAGGGCGTGCAGGAAGGAGTACGCGGCAATGGCCAGGTTGCCATGGCTCAAGAGAGCACCTTTAGGCACACCAGAGGTGCCCTGCACAGCAACGAGTAAGACCCACACCCTCGAACACATAATTGGACATGCACGCACCGAAGTGTAGCAAATGGATGCGAGGGTGTCCGCGGTGGCAGGGATGACGTCAATCAGGTTCGCTCGGCCGAATTCCTCGACTGCGTGTCATGGAGAACCCAGTCAGCTCATGAGTAGATGCAGCCTGCCATTGACCAATCTGCGGATCAGGACAAGAAGGGTGGAGAGCGAGACGTACACTCGACGATGTCCAAGAATTTGATGTTCCGTGTCTTGGCCCACGCCGTAAGTACACGCTTCTGATCGTCTTCCGCAGCTTCGATTGACACGATGTACTTTAGCGTAGGAAGCTTGGGGGAGAGCGCCAGGAGGAAGGGGATGTGCTCTGGCGCTGCGAAAACGATTGATAGGTCCGCGTGGTTGATGCTAGACGTGCCAGAGTCCGTAAGTCGCGACTATATGCGGGCAGCTAAGAAGCATACACATATTCTGTCAAAGATATTAGGAAGAGAAGAGAGGAGAGGGAATGTGTAGCGCGTACCAACCGAGTCCGCCCCAAGAGTGTCGTAGAGCGCGACGGTAACCTTGTTGTACGCCTGACAAGCAAGGTCGACGAGGAGCCAATCTGCGGGAATGCACGCGTCAAGACGCCAAACCCGTTGAAGAACACGAGGGGCACCCGACGCACTCGGACAATTCTTGCTCCAAATTCCTACGGTATCTAGTTGGTACCCGCCTAGCTCTTTTGTCTGGAAGAGCTTATGGAGGGCGCTGCCAACTGCGCGCCGGCGCGCGTCAACCTCAGGCCATGACTGCCAGACGTGATAGTTGGCGAAGGTCAGCGGCTTCCTGGAGAGGATGGGACGGTGGCCGAGGAAGGGGCCTCCTGCGGCGCGCCTGTAGCCCTCGTTATAAAGGTCGACGAGGTTTGTGACCACCCCAGGGGTGTCTACCGTCAGGAAAGGGAATACGGCTGCGAAGAAAGGGTGATCTAAGTAAACAGGCTGCGTGATGGAGCATAGGAGGACTCACCATGACGATAGGTCGCTTGAGAGGGCACAGTCGTCAGTCTCGCGCACCCACGCGTACATACCAACGCCCACCGTGTACTCACCTGACTCGCCAGGACGCTCAGAGCCAGGGATCGCAACGGACTGCTTGTTGTAGTCTGCGTTCGGTGGGAGCTGGATGGGATAGTCCGCCGGGGAGGGGGATTTGCGCTGAGCGGACATCACGGCGAGGAATGAGTGGGGGGTGGTGTTGGAGGTCGACGGTGAAGCTTTGAAGCCGTAGCCGAACTGGGGAAAACTGGGGAAGGGACATGCATGTGGGGCACCGGGGGCTAAGACAGAGCATCATTCAGGTCCGTGATTCTCTCCTCGATCGTCTTCGCCGGAAGATGCGACTTTGACGAGCGCCCTTCCCCGCAGGCCGCCCCGCCTCTCCATTGCTCCGGCCCGCCGGCAAATCCCCGGACCCGAAATTGGGACCCGGTAGGCCGTGGCATGTGACCGCAGGCATGCTTCCCTTCGACGTGCGGTATCGTACACTCGCGCCCACAACCACTTGATCTTGTGGCACCAGCTATGTACGCCAGGTCGAGCCGTTATGCCGCTCTCTCTCAAGTCGACGACGGCGCTCCCCGTGAAGCAATGTCAAGGCTGCGTATACTCGGCGTTGTCTATGCTCCGATTCACTGAGCGCGGCTGCCCAGACTCTTTTGACCACAGAGAAAGGGCCTGTCAAGTACGCCGGGACACATATTTCACAAGCAGCGGACCGCCATGGCCGCCCACAGTTCATGCCGTGGGTAGACTTTGGATGGGCGTATCCACTGGAATCCTGATACGCCGGCGCCTTCGAATACAATCTCTGCCTACGCCTTCAATCGATTACAAGTAACCTCGCCAGCACCTTGTTCAGCACGTGGATGTTACCGCACACGGCAACAATAGCTCGGTGCAGATACTAACGCTGACTGCAGGTCACCTAATTTCAAGACACCTGGAGCTTCTTCACGGACCTTTACGTCTCAGTCCCGCAATGTGAGCTGTGTCTTCCTCAAATACCTGCACAAATTCTGACTGGACAAATGTGGCAGATGAACCACACCATCATGCCCGTTGTGATCGAGCCACAAACCGCTGTAGGAGGACACCCTCCTGTCCCCTTCCCTGGGTCATTCCCCATCGAAATCGAGGAGCACTTCATCGACGCTCTCTCTGACGACTTTCGATCCCTCCGCAGTTGTTCCCTTACCTGTCAGTCCTGGTTGCCCCGTAGCCGTCTCCATCTCTTGCGCAGGATTCGCATACAGACGAGGACCGCACTCGACTCTGTCCTCGAATTCCTCGAAAGACACCCCCACACGCGGTCTCTGATCCGTTCGGTGGCCATGGCGCCCGGTCCCATGGAACGGACCCGGCTCTTCGAGGTGTATCCTGTCACGTTGCTCCGAGAGCTGCCTAATCTGTGTCGGTGGGAGATCCGAGCCCCAACGCTAGACAAGAAGTCCGGTCCGCAGAAGCTTTCCTTCCATAAAACCGTCTTAGCCCACTTCCGTTACTCTCCGATCACAGAGTTCCATATATCTTCCGTTTCGTTTACATCGCATGCTGAGTTCATTCGACTTCTTATGTCCTTCCCGTCTCTGAGGGTTCTGGAGTATCATGACATCCGCTGCACGGAGAAAGGGGGCACGATGGCTATGGATGCACTTGTCCGCCGGCGACCTCTGAAGCTGACGACTCTCCAGGTCAGTACGACAATTGGCGTCAATGTCATCAATCTGAATCCTGAATTTGTTTCAGGCTCAACACTGGCAAAACGCGGAAGAAGGGACACTGTCCTGCTTGCTGGGATTGACTCGTCCTACTCTTCTGAACCTCGTTCTGCGTCGCCGAAAGAGCGTCCAATGGAGACCAGGTAAGATAGAATTCCATTTCGGATTCACCGCTTCGTTGGCCCGATACTCACAAACGCTTCTAGCTGGCGTGACGGAAATGCACCAACTCCGCTCTTTGACGCTGCACGTAGAGCAAGAGCTCAACGATGGCTGGATAGACGTCTTCAAGAGCTCCTTCACAGATGCACAGAGCTGTATGCAAGCACTTGGCTGCGGGGGGTCGCTCGAAGATTTGAAGATACACCTTCATCTATCGAATACTTCCAAACTCTCTCTAGATGAACCTGGGTACGACAATCGGCCCGCCCTGCTTGCTGTGGCTCTCGCTGGACTGCGCATTCGGGATCTCTCCCGGGAGCTTGAACAAGCGTTGCTGGCTCGCGAGTCAGCGCAACCTACAGTGAATCGCCCAACGCGACTCACTTTGATGTTGCATCTCCCGTCCTCTTGGATCCCTAGGCAAGTGGTCTTGAGGACTTTGCACGAATACACCTTCCCGGAACTCAATAGGAGGGGGTTATTATCGACTGGATATGCGAGTGGTTAGCAGACACCGCCACATCTAACGATTGATTCTCACCGTCGATCTTCTACCACCACGTCCAGGCAATATCTACTTACCGAGCCCCTCTCATAAATGCCCAGTGAGGTCTCTCGCGGTATCTCCAGACGGCAGATGGATCGCCAGTGGCTCGAAACAGCTGTCCATTCTTTGGGATACTCTCCTCCAGCGCTCGTCTCACGAGTGGGTAAACTCCATGAACCACGGGCAGACAACCTCCACCTTCGCCTTCTCCCCCGATAGCCGGCGTCTCCTGTGCTCTGCTGGTGCAAAGGGAGCACTTTTTCTCCAGATCAGGGACGTGGCATCCGGTAATTTGCTCGCAGTCCTGCGGGGTCCTTCGATTGGTATTTCCCTCCAGAATCATGCAGCTGTACCCAAGTTCGTCTGTGCTTGGCACCCAGAGATGATCGTTCTCGTATAAACCGTCCGCTCGAGAGTCGCTATTATGATATGGGACGTGCAGACATACCAGTTACGGTCGGCACGCACAGAAACGACTCCCTTTGACGGTGCCTTTCCCCTTCTCTCGCTCAGCGGCCGGTGGCTCGCTGTGAGGAGTACTCCCGCGTCAGTACCTAGGCTGTCCAATCGTCCAGCATGCGTTCTCTGGGACATTCCTTCTGGTTTCCCGGGTGAGATGCTGCCCGGCTGTCCCTCGGGTAGTCGCTGGCTGCATCATTTGACTACGATGGCGACCGGATTGCTATCTCATTCGCGGATAATTTCATCCGTATCTGGCGCACAACGACACGGGAGCAGCTAGCGTGCGTCTTCGAGCCTCGAATCACCGTCCCCGCCAATCCTGGAAATTTCCCCGCGACAAAGGCAATTGCCTTCTCACCTATTGGCGCATATGCCCTATCGCTGCATTTCAAGCATCTTCCTGGAAACGACACTGGCACCGGCGCAACGTTCACCGTCTGGGGGTCCGGCCATACCAAATTTGACACACTTCGCGTGGTCGACGCACGTCATGGGCCCATATGTTCCTATACTGCTCCCTATCATTCTCTGGTGATCTTTTCCTCTGACAAGGCTCGCGTTGTATTCGTGCATGAATATGGAGGGGTCAAAGTATGCAGCCTGACAAGTAGCGGAGTAGCTGTGACAACATCCTTCTCGCGGAAAGCCATCCCAGCTCGCCTGGAGAGGGTTTGGATTCGAGTCGGTACTTCCTGGCCCCTGTCTTGTTTTCCCCAGATGGACAGAAGCTGATTTGGGGAACTGCGGACGGAGAGGTGGAAATCCATCCTCTTGAGGACATCTGACTGTTTACGCGTGCGAGTTACTTAGTTCCATATCAAATTCCTGTGCCACAATCTTGAACGTCGAACGCTTAACGCCTTGAAGTCAGACGAAGTGACCACATTCATGTGTTCGTAGAACCTTGTACGCCATAACACCACATCCTCATATAGTGGGAAGTCTCTTTATGGGAGTATCAGTAGTAGCCGTTTTCCAAATACATAATCCAGGAGATGCTGGATGACCTTATGACGGGGTTCACTAAGTCCTGCTCCTCCGCGACTGACATACTGGCGTCCGACCAAGCATCTCACGTGGGGAGGAAGCCTTGAGGGTAGTCAAAGACCGCCTTCGGGTTCACTTCCCTCATGATTCTTTGCAGCTTCGCCGTATGCGTAGGGTAGTACCACGCGTGAGCCTCCTCACGACTGAGCTGCGAATCGACGTAGTTCGGGTAGCCCATAAAGCGGCCTCCTGGCATCTGTATAGCAAAGACATAGATTTTAGCGTGCAACCCTCAATGCCGTCCAGAATGGCAGGGAGACGTACGGGGTCAGTGACAGACTTCAAGATGCCCGTGATGAAGGGAATCCCGTCGTCAGGGTACGGCAAGGTCGTACTGTATCCAAGGATCTGGAACACACCCCCAGCGTAAGGACTGCATTCAAATGTGAAAGTAGGGCATGGATCGCATACCTGCAGGTTCATGAGCATATCGCGTGCATTGTATGCCGTCGCATCCTGAGGTACCGCTGCGATGGCCGAGTTCTTGCCGCCAAAAACGTCCCAAAGGACGTACCAGTTCACGTCGGCGCTTGTGCCATTATACGTGTATCGCGTGAACGAGAGCGTAGACGCATTCGTGAGCAGGTTGTCGGCGGGGTAGAAAAGCGAGTTAGAATAGAAAGGAATCTGAAAGCCCTGTGCTTCCTGGAGCGCGACCTTCGGGTCGGTCGTTGGGTCGGAATCGGCTTCATACTGTATAAAGCACGGTGAACATTCAGAGGTGACCAAGTCCAAGCTTGAAGATCAAGTCCGTACCACAACGTTCTGGATCCAATTCAGATCCTCGAAGATAGTCGCGGTCGGAACGGAGTCGTTGAGTGCCCCGAGGGCATCCCAAAGAGGTTGGACCGTCCTATTCAAGCCAGTGATCCCGTCGTTGCCGTAGTACGCGCCGTTCAACGAAAAGGTCGGGACTGGGGTGGCTTCTGTGTAACGGACCTGCAGCGCCAAGTCGGAAGGCAAGTCCGTCTCAGCGGCGAAGTGCTGGAATATCTGGAACGCCGAGGACGCAACCTCGGGAGTACTCCAGGTGTACGTGAAGGCAAACGTCGCGGCATGGGTGGGAGCAGGGTGAGTCAGTACCGTAAACCTGGTGATTATGCCGAAAGAAGGTGGGGCGCCGCGGAGCGCCTATGATGTCTTCAGTTCGTAAACGGGCTCAGGACTCCAGTGATAGGTAACGTACCCAGAAGAGGTCGGCATTGGTGTGGTTGTTAGCGATGACGATGGAACCGTCCGCCTTCACGACCTCCATCTCAACGACCTGATCCAAGAATAGACCCCACTTGCGGCCGTGATAGCCAAACCCACCATGAAGATGGCCTGCTACACCGACTTGGGGGCAAGTACCGAATGCGGCCGCACGTTGGCCTGTAGAATGCAACGTAAGCCGGCGAGCTGAAATATGTGGGCAGCTACACGACTCACCATTCTCCCAGAGGAAGTAGTACAAAGGACCAAGTTTGTTACCCGTACCGATTGTGACGTAATCGCCGGACAGCGTAATATTGTTGAGGTTGTCGAGCGAGATGACTAGATGCCCATCCTCACCACCCGTGCTGAAAGACGCGTCTTTGGTGATTCATAGCAAACCATTCTGAGCGGATGACTGAATAGGGCTCAAAGAACGACATACATGAGTGTCCACCGGAACGCGCGTTCACTTTAACGTCGTTCACAGCGCCGCATTTGACCGATGCGCTTACATCATCTGTTGTATTCGGGTACACGAGTGCAGCGGGCTTGTAGATCAACCTCAAATTCACCGGGAGGGAGTCGTTCTGATATGTCGGGTTCGAAGGCGTGACCGGGTTTAGGCCCGCCCTAGTCAAGCAGTCGATGAGCGACGTCGTCGAGTTCCGTTCACGGAGTGAGAGGTCGACGCCGAGAACATCGTCGGAGACCACGGAAGCTGCCCCGGCAATGCCCAGTGCAACGAAGGAGAAGAAGCTAAGGCAGAACATGGCCAGTAGCTATTACCCTATTACCCTTCTAACGGCTATGTTGGAAAACTTGTCCAAGCTTGTCGGACTATTTGACAGGCTACAACATATCAGTAATCTTGACTTGTGGAAGTGCTGCAAAAGCTCACCTCGAACAGTTGCGGCGGAGGCAGCTGACGATGCGGGGTAGTCTGATTTGACGACTCGTCTACAATAAGGGAGAACAAGTGGCCCTTAAACTCTGCTCCGTCTAGTGGGAAGGACCGGGTGGGTCCAGGCGCGACGGAAGAGGCTGAACAACTTCATTGCATCAGTAACTTTGATGTATAGGTCGCGTGGACAGCAGGTCCGAAACAAGTATTTGACAGCTACGCAGCACCGCTGGTCTCGTGGTCTCGGCTCGCGCGCGGCTTAACAAGCAGACACACCGTAGCATATGATGGCTAGTCAGGGCAGGGACATAAGGCACCGAACCGCGGACGGTCTGGTTAAGACTAAGGTCGGCTAAGTAGCAGGTGCGAAAGAAGGGCTGGGACGTAGTAAGCTACTGTCAACGCATGAGCATGCCCAAATCGATGACATCACCGTCTACAAGTCGCCCACGTTCTCTCGGACACCCGCGCATATCCCGCTCCATGTCGGGTGAACGAAAGACTCTTGTAAATGTGAGTGTCTTACAGTAATCTACAAGTAGATGAAGGAGAGTCTCTGTCAAGTCCGTCGCACGCCAAATGCATGTACAGTAAAGTAGTCCAATCAGATAGGGTATCCATGATCTCAATCGTAGATAGGCAGGGGTAACAAGCTGCAAAGGCGAAGGAGCAGAGAAAGACACGGTCAGCCTTAAAATCATCAAGGGACACATGGAGTTCACTTACCGGTCAGCCGGGAACAGGAAGTTGTTTGCGACGTCCTCGCCTTCCAAGAAACGATTGGGATAGAGTACTGCCACAGTAACTCAGCAGGCGCGTAAACAAGCAGTCAAGGATGTACACGTACCGAGATGGCCGCGCAGCTCACGCAACAGGTTCTCCATCTCTTCTCTCTCAGACTGGTCAAACGGCTTTGGGCCCTTATTTTGCCGCTTATCTTTATCCTTGTCTTTATCCTTGTCCTTCTGGCTCTGCCCTTGAACTGGACTTGGGCTTTCCGGAGGCTGAGGCGTGTGCAAAGTGCGTGAATCACCATCACCGTCAAGGTGCTCCTTCTCGCGAGCAAGCTCGTCCTCAGAAGCGTTGGCAGCTTGCTTGGCGATGCGCTGCTGACCGGGCGCGTCGAAATCGGCGGCCTCGGATGGCATGCGAGCCAGCGGAGGGTCCGAGGGGTCATGGTCCTTGAGCTGAGCGACCGTTAAAGGGTGTATTGTGCACGCAGCTAGAGCTTGAGACATACCGGCTTATTCAAGCGCTCGTGGTGGACAACAAACTCCTTGTACTGCTTCCATGTTGTGACTAGATCATCAGGGATGGCGTGGAATACCTTCCGGAAGATCTCCGTCTGCGCATGCTCAGTGAGTAAGATTCGCATGGTATCACAACGAAGTACTCACGTTGTGAGCCGCGGAAGCAACCCATACATCCTTCCAAAAGGCGTCACAAATCGGGTCTTCGAAGCCGTAAGGATCGACGTGGGGCGTGCGCGTCGGGAGATGCCAATGTTTACTCCCCAGCTTCGCCGCGAGATGTTTACGAAGCATCGCACGAGCTCCAGGGGCCTTCTCTTCATCGGAACCCGCATCGACCTTGCTTGACCCCGCATGTGGAACTTCGTTGTCCTCTCGCGGGTTAGCTGCAGCGTTTGCAGGGGCACCGTAGAGCTCCCCAGTCTCGAGCGCCGCCTGGGGAGGAGTCCTATCTGCAGCTTCGGTCTGCGCGATGTCGCCGTTGATATTCGTGTCAGAAGACCGGTCTTGCACGACAGGCCCACGATTAGCATCTCCGTTGTCCATCGCGGACCCATTCTCCTGCTGATTCTTCGGTGCATCTCCGTTCTGAACACGTGCATCCTCACTTGAGGGGCGAGCCTCGCCGGTCTGATGGCGGTCGTTACCAGTGGGAGTTCGGCTCCCGTCCTGATCCTCAGGGACTTCTTCGATGGGTGAGGTTTGGTGCGGACGGTGTTCCATAATGGTCTTCTCCTCCAGTGTGGGGACGACAGAGCTAGGGAACCCTGGCTCCTTCTTCCCATCATGCGTTGACATCTCACGTTCCTCCCTGAGGAACTTGTCACCTGCCGTGTTGTCGGCTCCTTGTGATTTGATCCCAGCCATGCGAATCACCTTCGACATGTCCTTTGCTCCGACCTGTCCGGTGCCGTGGAGGGCTGCAGTAGCCTGAGTCATGACTCAAGGGAGTGCGACATGTCTACACACCTTGTTCAACGCCATCGATGATGTCGTGCATAAGTGCCCCCTTGGACGTATGCTGGTGGGCCTTGCTAATACGCGTCACACCGGCTTCTTTCCCGAATTCCTGTTCCATATCAGGATCCCATGCGTTCTGCTCGTGTGGCTCCTGCAAAGGCTCGGACGACATGAGATCCTCTTCGTACAGCGCGTCAACATCGACGCCAAGATGCTCGCGCATCAGGCGTACGCGGAGGGAGTGTGCAAACCGCCCGACCCTGAATGGCTTGCCGGCCATAGTGCTAAGGGCTACGGTTAGCAGCGGTTAGATGAGAGAACGACACAACCAACCAATCGATCATGTCGGTGTCACGAATGACAGCAGCAATCTCCGAATCTCTGTCACCACGCTGGGATCGTTCATTGATGTTCGCGCTACCGATGATGGCAAGACGGTCGTCGACAATGCAGACCTTCCCGTGGATGTACACTTGCTCAGTAGTCAACACATCCCCACGCAGCTTTCCCCAATTTCGGAGTGAGAAGACGGTGATATAGTCATCGGGCTAGAATATGTCAGCGAGGACGATGGACTGACGTCAAAGAGACGACGTACATCGATGCCTTCCTTCCTTAATCGACCGAAGATCGAGTGCGGTCCACGACAGATCGTTCTGTTCTGACACTCCAAAATGATGCGAATCTGCGCACAACTTGAGTATTTGCGATGGCATACCGGTTGTGTTGCTTACCGCACTAGCGTCGCTGTGGTCGACAGGGAACGCGAAGCCAGGGAGAAGTGGGATGACGATGCAGCACTTCCAAGGGGTGCGCTCTCGGTGTGCCCGGATTATACGATGAACAATGGCGTCTCCTATCCTGTTCTCAACCTTCACCTCGTTGACGACAGTGCTGGAGGAAAATCAGGTCTCGGCTACAAAGGAGGTGCGCCTATATAGCTCACGATGTGATAAAGAACTGGTTCTCGATGTACACGAAGTGCTCCGACAGCTGTATGGCTGTATGTAAGTTGTTATCAGTACAGGGCCAGACAGCAGTGTACAAGACGATGGCCACCTTTAAGATACGCATTCTGAATAGAATGCTCGATGCGATCGGGAGTGCCCAATGACCACGGGCCCGCAGAGCGGCAGATCTGGAGCTCGCACGTTCCGGTCAAACCCATGTCCGCCAGCTCACCGGGCTTGAACTCCGGTGGCGGCAGTAAGAATGGCATCGCACGGGTATGGTTCTTAATGCGGAGGAGATGGTTCCATCGCTGCACGAAGTGCCTCGCAAGATCGCGAGCGGGCTGCCCGACCACTTGCATCGAGACGTCATGCCTAACACCTAAGCTTCAGTAGTGGCATTGCATTCGGGTCAGCTTCATACATACCATGGCATCCTAGGGATCTTGCTCCTGTCATACATGTCATCGAACGGCTTGTTGAGCGTATGGAAGTCCGAGACGCGAGGATTGCTGTAATCCTTGCCTACAGAGGGCGTGAGCCTGATTTTGCTTGTCTCTTATCTCAGTGCGGCACTAACCGGGCCAAATGTGATCACCTCCATCCGATTCAGCTTCAGGGTCATCAACGAGAACGTGTTGCGGGGTATCCCAGCTGTTCCTCGGTTGAGATGCATAAATCGGTGACAAGAGACCATGCGCACCGTCCAAAGCAGTGGTCCAAGCCGCCCATGAAGGCAATTGCTTGGTCGATCACACACAACTTCTCGTGCTGCAAAGGTTGCAACATTAGCACAAGGAAAACTTGTGTAATCTGAGGTGCACGTACGTGCGCCCAGTAAAAGGTTCCAGTCTGGAAATGTGAAGGCGACCGCTGAACCATGATGTTCGGGTGCAGCGCTGTGAGGCGTTGCTTGGCGTAATGGCTGTCCGTCGGGGTTGTCCTGTTCGATACCTCTTGGCTGAAAAGGAATGAGAACCGTATCGTTGCCTCCGAATTGATGAGACGTACTAGAGGATGATATAGACCTTAACACCTTCCTTTGCCTTCTTCTCAAGTAGATGATCTAGTCGGTACTTGTCCATATTCGGTCTACGCAACTGTAGCTCTGGGCAGTAGTCAGTACACAACTTGAGCGACTATCAATTCTGAATAAGGACACACCTGGAGAGAGCCACCAATCGTGGATCTGGATGGTTTCCCGGGCAAGCAGGATTGCCCGCGATAGATTCCAAAAGTAATCTCTCTAGACGCATTACATGAGCACATCCTCTCTCAAAAACTAAGCACCAACGACCTACCCCGTCAACGAGCCACTGTGCTGCGACGTTCAACCTGATCGGCGCAAAGCTGTCGAACCGGTTTCTGCCCGTATAATGGCTGTCCTTTGCAGCGCGCTCCAGGGACGTGATCCACTGCAGCATTTGCCGCTCGTTCTTTGCCGTCAACTTCAGCCGCGTCTGTGCGTTCACAACGTAGAAAACATGCTTCGAGACGTCCTTCGAACCCTTCTTTTTCTTCTTCGTTTCGTCACCGCCGTCGTGGTGTTCGTGCTCGCGGTGCTCGTGCTCTTGCGCGTGCTGAGCAGGCTCGAGCGGATTCGTGTTCGTGGATGGGTCGAGCATAGGCGTGAACGGGTGGGAGGAGCCCGAACTGCTAGACGAGCTGGAGCTCGAAGAGGTTGCGCGCGTGTCTGTCGATGGTCGAGGATGCCCATGACCATCATCAACCGTGAGGTTGTTCGCCGACCTGCTGTGATGGCCATGTCCGTTGGTAGCATGGTGGTGGTGGCCGGGATGGAGAATTTTCGAGACGGCACTCTTGATAGTGCCTACTGTGGATGCGACGCGTTTGCGCTTCGGGGGCTCATACTCGACTTTCGCCTTCTCCTGGCCGCCCGCCATAATCTCTTCCTCTTGATCCGCTGATTCGCTGTCTAGGTGGAACAGGTGCATGCCTTGGCGGTAATACCGCGTCGGCCGCTCGATGGCGAAGTCTTGGTCGATGAGGAATACGTCCCAAACTGTGAGCTGGATCTCCCATTAGCCAAGGTGCACTCGAACAAGCCGCCGACGTCTTACCTCTCCCATCTCTTCCATGACGACCAGGTAGCTCTCTCGGACGCAACACCAACGTTGCTTTTGCTTCTCTCGCCATCCAGCCGCCCGCCGGCCAAAGGATGGTTTGGGAGCTACGCCTTCTAGGCGAAGGAGGCCGGCCTTGTACTGTGTACCTCCGGATTGTGCTAGAGCGACGGTGAGCGCTCCGAACTCTAGGAAACCTGCTAAGCGATTCACTGCAGGATGAAACATCTGTTGGGAAGTCAGGAACAGATGTGCCACGGTGAATCAAAACATGCATACCACAGCACGGATCAGACAGATCAGGTAGTTCTCGAGCGTTTCACGTTGTAGTCGTGCAAAGTCTGCCTTCCCGACATCGCTACCGCGCTCCTTCAAGAATCTGAAGTAGGGAAGGGCTAAGATAAATCGTTAGTATCTGGAATACGCCACAAACGAATAGGGCGTACTCGTCTTCGGGAAGTCAGGCAATGCGTCGATGTTGCGATTGTAAGCTTTAGAAACAGCATAATGCCCGTGCAGGGAGATGAATTCGCGCAACTGACGATATACAACCCACCGCACAGCGCCTTCAGCATATTCGCATTCAATGCGGAAGACAGCCTTGTGGCCATGCATAGGATGGAGACTGTCCGTCACGCGAATCTTCAGGCGATGAAAGAGCGCAGGCACTCTGCGATGACCCTTCTCGTCGCGTTCAATCCAGAACCGGAGCATGAGGGTTGCAAGACCACCAGTGATGAGCTCATCCGTGATGTTCACCGTCGCTGGCGCCACGCTGCGCGCAGACGGATGTTGCGCCTTCGCTTGGCCGGCGATGTGAGGGAGCAACGAGCGCAGGCGGCCCCACTTGGGTGTCTGAGGTGTCCGCGCCTCATTCTTCATGTGCGGCATTGATCGTGCATGGCGGAGACGGGGAGATGTAGGGGACTGGGGTGGAGTAGCGCCAGACGGGCCTGCTGCAGCCTGTTCATCTTCGCTATCTTCGTCCCGGTGTCCGCCTTCGGTATACGTGCGATGCGGCGGCCTGGGCGGGGGCTCTTCGTCGCGCGGGGTCTGACGGGGAGACTCCGTGATCCATTTCATCGGGTTCCATGACGCGTCTTGGAAATAGCTGTCTCGCCGCTTGTGTCTACGCTCGCGCTGCTCCCTTTCTTCGTAGTCGAGTGCACCACGAAAGGGGGACATTGCCGGTGGGAAGTCGTTCACTCTGTCTGGATCCTCGTCCTCGAATTGGGAGTTCTGGCGGGAGCTTCCTTCACGCTTTGATGCCGCAGGGAAACCATGGCCTGCCGCGCTGGATATGGAGTAGCTGTAGGATATCGACCGTGGCGGACCAGACCTCTGCTGAGGGGTACCTGGGGCAGGTGTGCGCTGAACGGTGGAGTTGCGGGAAGAGGAAACTGGGAACGACCGTTTCGAAACAGGAGACGCGGGCGAAGTGTCTTCCGGACGGTCGCGCGCGGGTTGCTTCAGAACAGCGAGCTCAGGGCCGTGCAGTTAAACATGAAACATCATGAACACGCACCTCCGGAAGCTTTTCGTAAGACTTCTTCACGTTGTCTTTTCCATCCTCATCGTCTTTCCATGGACTATCGTCTTTGATTTCCTCGCGGTGGCTGCGATTTACTGCCGGTGTGTCCTAGTGAAACGCAACAACTGCCGTTCATTTTTCATCATCCTACAATATATTTCACGCATACCACAGGAGGCCGGGCCAATGGTGGGGTGGACGGATGCATGTCGAGTGCAGCTTTGTCGGCGCTGCGCTCATGCTGGTGATTTGAGATGGCGTGTTTGACGACGTCGACGAGTCCCTCGGGAGGCCTCGCGACAGAGGCCATGCTAACCTAGGGGCTGCGCTGAAGCGAACCGTTTGGGAGCAGCAGACTCGACAGAGTGGAGAAGGAGACACAGGTCATATACTCGAGCTCAGTCCGCAGCCTTATGACGTCTCTGTTGCACAGGCGCCCATACGACACCTGCCGACTATGTACCGTACAGCGTCATGACTTTCAATGGTACCATGTGTTGACCCTGACAAACTACTGTGCCTGCAGAAACCCGAGATTGTATATTGCGGCTCCTCTAGGTTCGCAAACTTGCATTCGCCCCGGTCTCGTGGCGCCGGGCCCTTCGCGCGCGCGGCGGCCTCAGGCTCGAGGTATAACGTCAGTATTCTTTCGACCGTAGCATCTGGCCGCAGCCAATTTGCTTGAACCTTGTATCATTTCTAACAGCGTAGGATCCCATGATCCGCCCTTGGACGTACGAGCGATCTCTCTGCTCACCATAAGTGAATCGTCCACTTCACCGGCGCCGCGGAAAGCGTTTGCTAGCGCCTGGCCTCTTGTTTCTTTGTATCTTCTCCGGTCACCAGCTGATTTCGATCATGCCCTAGATGAGCGCAACCACGGCAGTACACATTCCAACTCCCAAGGTTCCGTGCCATCGTTGTAAACAGATTCATGACACACCTGCAGCGGTCCTTATGGCATGCGCCAAATGTGAACGTGCATGGCACCACAGTTAGTATGACTGAGAGCTAGTGGTGTTGAATGTCTTCTCTAACCTGGCGTCCTTCAGCATGCCACGTCCCACCGGTTTCTGAGAAAGAGATCCTCGAACGGATCGACCTTGATAAACAGGGGAAGCGTGATGTAGGCCTTAGAGCTTGGCAATGTAGGCGCTGCACGAAGAAGATCCGGGTTGAGCCGCCTCCACCCGCCCTGCCTGCTGCTGGTCCGTCAGACGGGACAACGCAGACATTTGTACCACGCCTACAATTCGACTCTTCTAGCAGCGAGCATCCACACTCCCTTGGCCAGGTCACGACCAATATCCCACCCCGAGCAAGATCCTCAGCTCCCGTGCCAACTCTCATAATAGAGGACGAGGATATCACAATCGTGGATGACTGCTCCCAGCAATGTCAACCAATCATTGCTCAGAACAACCCGGCAGGCAAAGATCCACCAGTCATAGAGCGATCCTCAGGAAACCAACCACAAAAACCGCGTGCTCCTGTTGTTGTTCTCCCTGAACCACCACATACTGTGGCATCGACATGGGATGTCTCTAATGCTCATCCTCTAACTCATGGAAATAGCAGAAACCAGAATTCCACACGACTGTCGAAGACTGCACAAGTGCGTGTCTATAATTCCCGTGTGTGTATGTGACACTACTCACAAGTCTTTCTTGTCAGAAGCGACCGATGCAAGCCCCGCTCACCATCGCCCCGCTCCATGCAGCTGGAGGCTCTGCCATCACGTATGCTGGTCCTAGCGCTCGTCCTGGGCGTTCCTTCCCCTCTCCTCCGGATTCTCCTCATCCACGTCCGACCAGGACGGCACTAACCTCGCCTCGTCCTGATCAATCGCCATCTCCTCATCCTCACCCCGTTCAGCCTGAGCCGCCGGTGCCGCAGACCGAGCCTCAAGCATCCATTGCCGCCAATACGAAGACCATTAGCTCGGCGGACATTCGCGCTCTCATATCCAACATGCGCTCTGATGGTCGGCTCGCCCCGCCTCCCGATGTCCAATACATCCATACTCGCGCACGCAACCCCGACCCTGCGTTCGTAACATTCCAAGCAGGGCCCTCACTCAGACCTTCCCAGTCGCGAGCCCGGAAATTGGCCTACGAACTTACGATTAATCCCGGTCTCGAGGCCGCCGAGCCGAAGCTCAACGACCCCGACAAGCGGGAGATGGACGTCGACGGTAGGGGACGCTCCGAGCCCGAGCCTGAACCGACGCCGCTCGAGGAGTTCAACGGAGAAGCTGGGCAAGAGTTGGAAGATCCCCATAATATTGACGATCTGTACGGGGACGTCGCTCCACGCTACCGCAACCAGCCTCCAAGGCGTTCTAAGTCGAAGACCATTCCTCCGCCTTCACCACCACAGGAGACCACATTGCTCTTCTCTGCGCTTGACAAACGACCGTCTAAACCAGACGCCCTTGGGCTTCTGCTCGACAAGCAGCTGCGAATCGAGGAAAATCGTCGAGCCAAGGGCAACGCTGCGTCCCGACCGCGTAAGCTAGTTGCACCGCAGGAATTGAAGGGGAAGGCTTTGAAGAGGAAGCAGAAGACGGGCCTCTATTTCTCTATTCACGAGGAGCGGGAACAGGCTGCAGCTGGTTAGCTGCTATATGAGGGGAAATTGTTCGATTCTGAAGGTGTATTGGGCTGAGCAGTGGAATAGGGTAATAAGTCGGGTCTCCTAGCATACACGTTACTTGGCTAAAGACAGCGTCGTTCCCGTATCCTTGAGTGTTCCACGCCATTCCGTCCTATGCACACTTCGTCGGCTCTAGCGATGTTTCGGAGGAATAATGATGCGTCGTACATGTCCACGAGACTAAGAAGGCTGCCTGAACCGCGTCCTATTGGGTACGTCTCCCTGTGCAGGGTCTGCAGATCTAAGTAGATGGGATATCGATGCGATAGTCCACCGCAATCTAGTAGCTGCGAAGGCTATCCGTGGCCTAGCTTTCAGGGTGATATGGACGTCCGAGTCGCTGACAAACAATCGGACTCAACATGGGACCGTGGGCGCTTCCAGAGAAGGACTGAAGTCTCGGCTGTATGCATACCTTGCACTGCACACTTTCCGCAATATGTCGAGCGGCTCGTCTCAAGACATACGTGGAGAAGCAATACATGGCACGCCGCGGTCTGGTCCTGGATCATCCTTGGTAAAGACACCAGCACATTTGAATAGCTCGGGTCTCCGAATTGAGTATGCCGAAGGAAAAGGGCGAGGCGTATACGGTGAGCCATGTTCACTTCTTCGATATGCTTTGACTCAATCACCAAAGAGTGATCATCAGCCTGCAGGGAGATATCTGCGCAGACCCTAATCGAGATCAGCCCAGTCTTGCTCTTCAGTGCGGCTGAATACGAAGAGCATGGAAGGCATACTGTCCTCGACCATTACACCTTCGTCTGGCGGGACGGGCACATGGCACTCGCTCTCGGATTAGGTTAGCACTAAATTTCCTCATAATTGTTAGCGGAAACCAGAACGCGACCGTGATCTTGAACCCTGTTAGGATCATTATTCAATCACTCCCAAAACCCAAATGTTTCGTACACCATCGACCCTTCAACAGAATCCATCAATTATGTCACATCTCGGAGAGTAATACCGGATGAAGAGCTGTGTATCTTTTATGGACACAAGCTGTGGTTTGATCCAGTTGGTACTACGGATACAATGCCTGCCGATGCCATAGAGGAGCGCGACGACGGGTGGGGAGGTCTCTCGGGCGTGGCCGACGATGAAGACGATGAGGTGGCCCGTGGTGCAAATGAACCGTTCGACAGCTTCGCAGATGGGGATCCATCCCAGCTCGTACCAGAGGAAGCGTTGCCGTTCAAGCGTTTGAAGCTTACGCCGGACGAGGAGGAAGAAGGCATGGATTCAGTGCGTACAGGTATGTGACTTTGTATGTGTTGTTGCAACCCCTCTCATGGACGGTTTTGGAAGAGGAGGCCTGGGTAGTCGATCTCCCGGACCCTCGATTGGCGGCCACGATGCTTAAGTGCGTGCGTGTATCAAGTCGGCGCTCCTTGCATATATTAATTGAGCTCGGTTGCTTCGTAGATGGCTCAAACAAAGTGGACTTGACACGCTGTCCATGGCACATCTCAAACGGATACGCAAAGTCGACGATAAGATGAGCATGGTTCTCATTCTGACCCGTGAACATCCCCAACCACCCGCATTCCCTGAAAATATCGTGCTGCCGCCACCTTACGTCCTGACCGTCCCGAAAACCGCTGCCCTGACGATGACTTCGCTGAAGCTGAAATCATCACTATGGCCGACAATATATGCGCCTCGCAAGAGATTCGAGCCTGAGCCGTGGTCGAGAGGCAAGGTTCGCTGGGCTTGCGAAGCCATCAAGCAAGTCATCAAACAAGCGCGAGAGGCGGGCGACAAGGGCGAGGTACGCTCCCCTGTTCGTCGGGCTTCTTATATCAAACGTTTATACGGTGCAGATACCTATAGCGGCATACGTACCTGTTCCCTACGACGAAGAAACACGTATAGCAACACACATGTATGAGCCCATCAGTGCGCACGATACCCGCACGTCTCTCTGCCATCCCCTCCGCCACTCCATCATAAACCTCGTCCGCGACGTCGGTGAGCTCCGTGCATCAACCTTGCACCCGTCTTCAACCCCCACTCTCCCCTCAACCCCTGCTTTCGATACCACCTCTCCCCCGCATCAGCTCACAACCGTCACCGACGTGCCCACGCCTTCTCTCGACAAAGTGTCAGCTGTACTCTCCCAGCCGCACTCCCATCCGCTTCCTGCGTTACAGGACTTGCCGCAATCCACACCCATCTCAGAGGCAGAGGCAGAGAATCGATCAGTCAATGGCGCGCACTACCTCCTGACATCCCTCACGCTCTTCACGACGCACGAGCCGTGCATAATGTGCAGCATGGCGCTCCTGCATTCGCGCGTCAAGGAGGTTGTCTACATGATCCCGATGGAGAAGACCGGCGGGTGCGGGAGCTTGACTTGTGTGCCACGATTGGAAGGTGTTAATCATCGATATGTGGTCAACGTCTGGAAGGATATGGGAAAAGAGTGGGTAGAGCAGAACGGGTTAGAGGTGAATGACGCATGCGATGCGTAAGCTGGTAATCGTTTTGACTGTACGAGCGAAAGAGGCCGTTGGCTATCGATATCATTGACTTGCGCCTGCCCCCGAAGGGGGGAGCGGAATGAGTGTGGTGTCGCCATGCTTCAACGTGCGCAAGCCAGTCCGTGTTATTCGCAGCCGACTAGGACAGCACGGATCGGGACAAGCGACCTCCGCATCCGTCGACATCCAGTCGCTGTTTGCACTCGCGCGCTGCTTCGCGGCGAGGAGAGGCATAACCGCGCCTGTGGTGGTATCATGAGCCGAAATAATGGCAGTCATTGCAGCGATATGACATAGGAGAGATATTGACTCAAGGAGTAGATGGAGATACCTTGTCCCGGGGGAAGGCAGAGCATCTCGCCTTCGAGTATGAAGTGGTCCCCTTCCTTGGCTCCGCACATGATTCGCTTGCCTGGAGGACAGATCACTTCAACGCGAAGATCATACAATTGAAAAGTGTCGTTTTCGTTAATCCCAGTGATAGCTGCAGAGTCGTCGGAGGGTAGTGATGACATGATGATAGCTCCCGCACATGCATCAATCAGCGCTGAAGCTCTGGAGCCTGGAGGACGGCAAGTATTCTGGCGTCTATCCCTCTGCACTTCCTGCATCCTCAGGATAGTCTGTACCTTCAGTCCTCTCTTAGCTTTAATGCTGCGCGTTTCAGACGGCAATTCCAAGACGGAACTGAACATGCCCTCCAACGTGTCGATTTCGGGCCCATCAAGCGCATATACTCCACCCGAACTTTCGAAACTGACGGTGCCTCAGCTGAAGGCTCTCTGCAAAGAAAGGAAGATATCTGGCTACTCGAAACTCGGAAAGCAACCCCTTCTGCAGAAGTTGACTGCATCTGGATATTACTCTGGAAATGCCGGCGAGCTGAGCACCTCTGGGTCAAAACATACCGTGGCGACAACCCTCGTTCCAACAGCCTCGGATCGCCCATCCTCCTCTAGAGGCTCCCAAAGACCGGAGAGCGCGCTACAGACAGTACCCGATACTCTCTATCAGCGCTCTGCATTCTCCGACAGTATCGCGCCCGAAACTATACCTAATCATAACATACCCATAACGCGGCCTCCCTCTGTCGCTGCTAATACCTCATTACTCGCAATCACGACACCTTCATCCCAAACGAAGAGAGCTGAAAACGCAGGGACTCGCCAGCGTCATCAAATTCAAACCACCGACGGAGACTCTCTGCCCTTGGATTCGCCAACTGGGTCACCGTGCCTGGAGCACGTCCTGGGATCTCCATCTCGAGCAAACCAGACTTCTGAGGCAGCAATTTCTGGCAATGGTTCTGTCGCCACCGTTCAAGGATGTCCTGTCCCGGCTGCGTCCTCTACGAGGCAGCGAACCCATACAAGCATTGATCATAGCATGCCTCCGCCACCGCCCAAAAGAGCCCGGGTACTGCCACTTGCGTCTTCTCTCCTCTCCAAAACTACTAGTGCCCCTTCGTCAGTTTTTGCTCCTTCCAAGAGGTTCAAGCCACTCGTTATCACCAGGCGTCTGCCGTCGAATACTACTACACCCACTTGTGCCCAGGCTGTTCCGCAAGCCGAAAATTATGTTCTTGGACATGATGCCCTAAACAAACCCCTGGAAGCTTCCCTGCTGGAGCTCGAGAGCAATGCTATCACTATGCCACAATTGTCGGCCATCGCCATGCCTCCGACCCTCTCCCAGAGGAAGCGCGTCCAGCGATGGGCTGTGATTCTCAGCGGACTATCTGACCAGGAACGGGCTGTATGCGTCCTAGTCTCGCGCGCCTTCCGATATGCAGGTGCGCCGGAACAGCTGGGTCAAACGTTTAATGTTTGTCATGTTGTGACTGGACAGTATACCTCTCCGCTGCTTGCCTCCTTGCCAGGGACTACACTGGCCGTCGGCTGCGAGAGGATGTCTTGAAGAAGTACCCCCCAGCGATGACCAACATGTGGCCGTATCTTCGTGTGCGCGAGACAGAAGTCGCCAGGAGGCGCAGCATATTCGAGTCTTCGTTCCTTTGGAGACTCATTCGGAAGCTGGGCCTCTCGGATCCCATCGCAGCCCATATTTGGGCCAGTCCCGATCACCCAAAACAACTTTCGATTGCGGTCAGGTGAGTGGCCTGGTGATGTCAAACTAGACGTAGAACGTTGATAGCGTGGCAGGTTCGTACTGACAAGAGCGTGGTTTGAGCTCTCAATTGGGTTACCCCACGACAGCAGAACCAACCCAAACTCGTGGCTACACGGCACAATTGTCGATGTGCGGGAAGTCGTCCCGTCAGAAGTCTGGTCTGTCACCATCCACTACTCAACATGTCTCACTCCACCGCGCGAGCGAGAAGTTCTATATATCCTCGAGGCTACGTGCGAAGTTATAGGTCGACCGTCGAATGGATGCATACTTTCTCTTGGCGAGAGCGCAGCGGCAGGTCTCCCCCTCCGCGCCGATTGGTCGACGTATATTGCTCACCGCGTCGCTCCCTGTTCTATTGCAAAGCCACTCGTCTCACACATGAAGTGGGCATGTCAAGAGGATTACGATCAAGGAATTAGCACGCTTTGGCTGAAGAGGGTTTCTGTGGAAGGTCAATTGGGCATAACGAAACGCACGATCGCTGATCGCTACGTGATGGCGTGCGTAGTCGGGAACAGGTGAGTCTCTTGCCACAACGTGATTAACGCCAGTCATTGCGTAGGACCTGCTGACTTTTTGTCGTAGCATAAGTGGGCATTGGATGACTACGAACGAGATGGCGCAAGAATTCGCTGGCCTCCCAGCTCGTGTCGCTCCTCAATATGGAAAGCAAAAGAACACAACACTGAATTTGTTCCTTCCCGAGTGAGTGCAGTTGATCATGCGGTCCTCAGCGATTAAGATCCCACCGAACAGACACCATCACGTGGAGAGCGTGCACTTGGCTGGCCCCGGCGGGAAAAACTTACATCCTGCCCTTGCGGTTATTCAAACACCTCATCGAGAATACTTCGTCTTACGCGACAACGGTATGCAGGTCGGGTGCGAGGAGGATGGCGTTGCGGATATCTGGCAGGAGTTGCTCCGGTGTGACTGCAGAGGCAACCCGGTATAGACGAGGTAGACCCTCTGAAGTATCTCTTGCTCGCAATGCCCTTTGTGAAACATTGTTTGGCATGTGTCAGCTCCGTCCTTGATCGTCTGCAAAGTAGCATGTCGCCGTGTTGCCTCTCCCACCTCCAGCCACAGCGCTTGGTACTCCAAGCATGCCTTCTCTATTCAGCTACACTAGTATATTGTATGCACACCCGCCGCAGTGCAGTGACAATTCGGAGTCGGCATCTTGAGCGCGTTCGAGGTAATTGAGAAGCGTAGAGATAGGGGACGAGAGCGTCCCGTGACGAAATTGAGTCTGAAGGTGTTACACATATGCATGATCGCTGGCGTTGGATCGTAATGGAACATTAATGTGTCGCGGTCGACGTAACGGTATGTAGTTGACTCGTATAGAGCAATATGATACCTACTTAGCACTTGAGTAGTGTGGCATGAAGTATCGGAGCTCGAACAGTGTTCGCTCCGACTGAAAGTAGTCCTCACGTGATGAGGGCGCGTCAATAGTGAGGAGAAGCGCTTAGTGAGCGGCACCCAACGTTGTCTCTCATCGTCGACGATGAGCTACCCTCCCAGAATGCCTCCTCCGCCTCCAGGCATGAGAGTGCCGCCTCCGCCGGGTATGCATGGCATGCCTCCTCCGCCGCCAGGAATGGTGCCTCCAGGTTTTGGTGAGCCCTCGAGCTCTCGTATGCCTCCAGAGGTTCTCGCACAAAAATCCCAGAAGTGGATCCAGATGCAGAAGAAGCGGTATGGAGAGAAGCGCAAAGGAGGATTCGTGGATATGGGCAAGCAGGTACGTCCCTAGGACGCCATTCTTCACGCGACATATACTCATTGTTGCGCAGGATTTGCCTCCTGAGCATGTCCGCAAAATCATCAAGGACCACGGTGACATGAGCAACCGCAAATTTCGCAACGACAAGCGTGTTCATCTCGGTGCCCTCAAGTACGTCCCTCATGCGGTCATGAAGCTTTTGGAGAACATCCCTTACCCATGGGAGCAAGTCCGCGAGGTGCCAGTGCTCTATCACATCACGGGAGCCATTACGTTCGTCAACGAGATCCCCCGTGTCATCGAGCCCGTGTACCATGCGCAGTGGAGTAGTATGTGGCTCGCTATGCGCAGAGAGAAGCGAGACCGTAGGCACTTCAAACGCATGCGCTTCCCGCCTTTCGACGATGAGGAGCCTCCTCTCGACTACGGTGACAACGTTTTGGATGTCGAGCCTCTTGAAGCCATTCAGCTTGAGCTTGACGAGGAGGAAGACGCTGCCATCTACGACTGGTTCTACGACCCGAAGCCACTGGTCGACACAACCCACGTCAATGGCCCGTCGTATCGGTATTGGAACCTCACGTTGCCCATTATGGCCAACCTGTATCGTCTAGGTAGGACCCTCCTCTCCGATCACACGGACAGCAACGCTTCCTATCTCTTCGACAAGAAGTCGTTCTTCACAGCAAAGGCGCTGAATATGGCGATTCCTGGTGGTCCCAAGTTTGAGCCCTTGTACCGTGACATGGACACATTCGACGAGGATTGGAATGAGTTCAACGACATCAACAAGGTCATCATTCGTCAACAAATCAGGACGGAGTATCGTGTCGCTTTCCCTCATCTCTACAACTCACTCCCTCGTTCCGTTCACATCGCCCCTTACCACACGCCGAAGAATGTGTACATTCGCACTGACGATCCCGACCTACCCGCATTCTACTTTGATCCCCTCATTAACCCTATCTCGCTGCGCGGCTTCACTTCCCAGAATGGGCCTCTCGTGTCTCATGAGGATGCTATCTTTGGTCCCAACGGTACCGACGATGACGACTTTGAATTACCCGAAGAACTCGAGCCGTTCTTGGATGGCCGCCCTCTCGAGAACGACATGACTGCTGACGCTATCGCTCTCTGGTGGGCTCCCGACCCCTACAATCGTCGCTCTGGTCGGATGCGCCGCGCTCAGGACATCCCGCTGGTGAAGAACTGGTACCTTGAGCACTGTCCACCGGGTCAGCCGGTGAAGGTCCGCGTATCGTACCAGAAGCTCCTGAAGTGTTATGTGCTCAATGAGCTCCACACGCGCCCGGAGAAGGCGATGAACTTGTTCCGCCAGCTCAAGGCAACGAAGTTCTTCCAGACGACTCGTCTTGATTGGGTAGAGGCTGGTCTGCAGGTCTGCCGTCAGGGTTACAACATGTTGAACCTCCTCATCCATCGGAAGGTATGTTTGCAGCGGGTTTATGATTCTCCGGACAATGCTGACTAGCCTCCGCGTAGAACTTGAACTACCTTCACTTGGACTACAACATGAACCTGAAGCCCGTGAAGTAAGTCGGACATGTTATCATTAGGCCTTTAGTGCTGATCATGTGTCTCCTAGGACGCTGACGACGAAGGAACGTAAGAAGTCGCGATTCGGAAACGCCTTCCACTTGTGCCGCGAGATCCTTCGCCTGACGAAGCTCGTCGTCGATGCCCACGTTCAGTTCCGTCTCGGTAATGTCGACGCCTTCCAGCTCGCCGATGCGCTTCAGTACATCTTCGCCCACATTGGTGCCCTGACCGGTATGTACCGGTACAAGTATAAGTTGATGAGGCAGGTGCGCATGACGAAGGACCTCAAGCACTTGATCTACTACCGCTTCAACACCGGTCCAGTGGGTAAGGGTCCTGGTTGTGGTTTCTGGGCACCGGGCTGGCGCGTGTGGCTGTTCTTCATGCGCGGCATTGTCCCCTTGCTTGAGAGATGGTAGGCCCTTTCCAGCTTCACTTCTGTTCCTGGCATCAGCTCATATTTGTGACTTTAGGCTTGGCAATCTGCTTGCTCGTCAATTCGAAGGTCGCAACAGCAAGGGTATCGCTAAGACGGTGACTAAGCAGCGCGTAGAGTCTCACTACGATCTCGAGCTCCGCGCTGCCGTTATGCACGACATCCTCGACATGATGCCGGAGTCGATCAAGCAGAACAAGGCCAAGACTATCCTCCAGCACTTGTCTGAGGCGTGGCGTTGCTGGAAGGCGAACATTCCTTGGAAGGTCCCTGGCATGCCCACCGCGATCGAGAACATCATCCTTCGTTACATCAAGAGCAAGGCCGATTGGTGGACGTCCGTAGCGCACTACAACCGTGAGCGTATCCGGCGTGGTGCGACCGTTGACAAGGCTGTCGTCAAGAAGAACCTCGGTCGTCTCACTCGTCTATATCTCAAGGCCGAGCAGGAGCGCCAGCACGGCTATCTCAAGGATGGTCCGTACATTAGCGCCGAGGAAGCCGTTGCGATCTATACGGCGACTGTCCACTGGCTTGAGAGTCGCAAGTTCTCGCCAATTCCCTTCCCGTGAGTTTAAGTACACTCTGTTTCCACACTGCGTTGCTGACCGTTGTCTCCAGACCGCTCAATTACAAGCACGACACGAAGCTTCTGGTGCTCGCGCTTGAGAAGCTCAAGGAGGCGTACTCGGTCAAGGGACGGCTGAACCAGTCGCAACGTGAGGAGCTGGCGCTTATTGAGCAGGCGTACGACAACCCACACGAATGTTTGTCGCGCATCAAACGGCTGCTGCTCACGCAGCGAGCGTTTAAGGAAGCGGGTATCGAATTCTTCGACACCTACGACAAGCTGATTCCGTGCTATGACATCGAGCCTGTGGAGAAGATTACCGACGCTGTGCGTAGCTTTATTGGCTGACACCAGTAGTTGAATTGATGATTAACCTTTACTATACAGTATCTCGACCAGTTCCTCTTCTTCGAGGCGGACAAGCGAGGTCTCTTCCCTGCTTGGATCAAGCCCGCTGACACCGAGCCCCCTCCGCTTCTCGTCTACAAGTGGTGCCAGGGAATCAACAACTTGACGGACATTTGGGAGACGAGCGAGGGCGAGTGCAATGTCATGATGGAGACTGTCCTTTCCAAGGTCTATGAGAAGATTGACCTGACGCTGCTCAATCGTCTCCTCCGGCTCATTCTGGACCACAACCTGGCGGACTATATTACGGCGAAGAACAACACCGTGCTCACGTACAAGGACATGGCCCATACGAATGCTTATGGTCTCATCCGTGGTCTGCAGTTCTCAGCCTTCGTCTTCCAGTACTACGGTCTAGTCCTCGACTTGCTTATCCTCGGCCTGCAGCGTGCAAGCGAAATGGCTGGGCCTCCGCAGATGCCCAACAACTTCTTGCAGTACCGCGACTCGGCGACGGAGACGCGCCACCCCATCCGACTCTATTCCCGCTACGTCGACAGGATCCACATCCTATTCCGCTTCACTGCGGAAGAGTCCCGCGATCTCATCCAGCGGTATCTCAGTGCGAACCCCGACCCAACGAATAACAACGTGATCGGGTACAACAACAAGCGCTGCTGGCCGCGCGACTGTCGTATGCGTCTCATCAAGCACGACGTCAACCTTGGCCGTGCAGTGTTCTGGAACGTCAAGCAGAGTCTGCCTCGGTCGCTCACGACGATCGAGTGGGAAGACACTTTCGTCTCCGTCTATTCGAAAGACAACCCGCAGCTTCTGTTCTCTATGTGCGGCTTCGAGGTTCGCATTCTGCCGAAGATCCGGACGCTCAGCGGCGAGCAGTTCTCTCTCAAGGACGCGGTGTGGAACCTTACGAACGAGCAGACCAAGGAGCGTACGGCCCAGGCGTTCCTCCGTGTATCGGACGAGGGTGTCCAGCAGTTCAACAATCGTATCCGTCAGGTGCTCATGAGCTCCGGTTCGACGACGTTCTCCAAAATCGTCAACAAGTGGAACACGGCGCTGATAGGACTGATGACTTACTATCGTGAGGCCGTCATCCACACGAACGAGCTCCTCGACGCGCTCGTCAAGGCAGAGAATAAGATCCAGACGCGTGTCAAAATCGGCCTTAACTCGAAGATGCCGTCGCGTTTCCCACCGGTCGTGTTCTACACGCCGAAGGAGCTGGGTGGTCTCGGTATGCTTTCGATGGGTCACGTCCTCATCCCCCAGAGCGATCTGCGGTGGTCGAAGCAGACGGACGTTGGCGGTATGTTCTCTGTTAGACTTCAATGAGGTACTGTTGCTGATTATCGTCTCTTTACAGTCACACATTTCCGTGCTGGTATGTCTCACGAGGAGGACCAACTCATCCCGAACTTGTACCGCTATCTTCAGCCATGGGAAGCCGAGTTCATGGATTCGGCGCGTGTATGGTCGGAGTACTCGATGAAGCGCAAGGAGGCGAACGCACAGAACCGTCGTCTCACCCTCGAGGATCTGGAAGACAGCTGGGATCGTGGTATCCCACGCATCAACACGCTTTTCCAGAAGGACCGTCACACGCTTGCTTATGACCGTGGTTGGCGCGTGCGCACAGATTGGAAACAGTACCAGCTGCTCAAGCAGTAAGTTCCATGGTCTATCACTCGTTGATTTGTCTAAGAACGTCGTGTGCAGCAACCCCTTCTGGTGGACGTCCCAGCGTCATGACGGCAAGCTGTGGCAGCTCAACAACTATCGTGTCGACGTCATCGCCGCTCTCGGGGGTGTCGAGGGTATCCTAGAGCACACCCTCTTCAAGGGCACATACTTCCCTACCTGGGAGGGTTTGTTCTGGGAGAAGGCGTCCGGATTCGAGGAGTCGATGCGGTACAAGAAGCTTACGAATGCGCAGCGTTCCGGTCTTAACCAGATTCCGAACCGTCGGTTCACGCTCTGGTGGAGTCCAACCATCAATCGCGCAAACGTCTATGTCGGTTTCCAGGTACAGCTGGATTTGACGGGTATCTTCATGTGCGTCTATTCAATTAGCTTTGCGGCTGTCGAGTTGTTGCTGACGCCTTTTGTCTTCGCATCCTTGCAGGCACGGCAAGATCCCAACCCTCAAGATCAGTTTGATACAGATTTTCCGTGCGCATCTGTGGCAGAAGAGTGGGTTGATCGTCAGCTTCCTTTGAGTGTAGCGATGTCTGACTAGCATTATTCAGTCCACGAGAGTGTCGTCATGGACTTGGTTAGTATATCTATCCTCTCCATGTAGTGCTGTGCTAATCGTTGTGACTTATGTAGTGCCAAGTCTTTGACCAAGAGCTAGAGCCTTTACAGATTGAGACGGTGCAGAAGGAGACTATTCACCCGCGTAAGAGTTACAAGATGAATTCGTCATGCGCGGATATCCTCCTATTCTCGGCATACAAGTGGAACATCGCCCGCCCATCGCTCGTCACTGATGTAGGTTTCCTCATGCGTGTCATTGTGACTGTTGCTGAGTTGGCTGCATGTCACAGACCAAGGACGTGCTGGACGGTACTACGAGCAACAAGTTTTGGATTGACGTCCAGCTGCGTTGGGGTGACTTCGATACCCACGATATCGAGCGGTACACTCGTGCGAAGTTCTTGGATTACGTGAGTCTCCATCTCGATGATTTGTCTTGCCTTCGCTGATTTGTTTTGCGTCAGATCTCGGACTCGATGAGTATCTACCCCTCTCCGACAGGTGTCATGATCGGCATGGATCTCGCCTACAACTTATGGTCGGCATACGGTAACTGGTTCCCTGGTCTCAAGCCTCTTATCCAGCAGGCGATGGCCAAAATCATGAAGGCGAACCCGGCTTGCCACGTCCTTCGCGAGCGTATCCGGAAGGGCCTGCAGCTCTACTCTTCGGAACCGACGGAACCGTATCTGAACAGTCAGAACTACTCCGAGTTGTTCTCGAACCAGATCATATGGTTCGTAGACGACACGAACGTCTATCGTGTGACAATGTAAGTTCCGCTTCAGCCTCAACGTATCTTCAGCCGCTTACGAGGACTAACTATCACAGTCACAAGACATTCGAGGGTAACTTGACCACTAAGCCCATCAGTAAGTGCTTCCGCGGTGTACAGCCTGTACGAAGTAGCTGATAACTTTCTTCCGTGTAGATGGAGCCATCTTCATCTTCAATCCCCGCTCTGGGCAACTGTTCCTGAAGATTATCCACACAAGTGTCTGGGCCGGTCAGAAGCGTCTTGGACAGCTCGCAAAATGGAAGACTGCCGAAGAAGTTGCCGCCTTGGTCCGGTCTCTGCCGGTCGAAGAACAGCCGAAACAAGTCATCGTAACGCGGAAGGGCATGTTGGACCCGCTCGAGGTTCACTTGCTCGACTTCCCGAACATTGTCATCAAAGGAAGCGAGCTTCAGCTGCCATTCCAGGCCTGCATGAAGATGGAGAAGTTCGGTGACCTGATCTTGGTAAGTTCTGAATGGCATTGCCTTATTTGACGGCGCTAATCGACGCTGTTTTTGTAGCGTGCGACCCAGCCGCAGATGGTGTTATTCAACTTGTACGACGACTGGCTCAAGTCCATCTCGAGTTACACGGCCTTCTCTCGTCTTATCTTGCTCCTTCGTGGCCTGCACGTCAACAATGAAAAGGCGAAGATCATCTTGCGCCCGGACAAGAACACTATAACCGAGCCACACTTCGTCTGGCCGTCCTTGACGGATGAGGAGTGGATCAAGGTGGAAGTTGCGTTGAAAGATCTGATTCTAGCGGTAAGTTCAGTCATGATGCCATTTATGACCTCATCTCTGATCTCGGTCTGCAGGACTTCGGCAAGCGTAACAGCGTGAACATAGCCTCGCTTACGGCCAGCGAGATACGGGACATCATTCTTGGCCAGGAGATTGCGGCACCTTCTGTACAGCGGCAGCAGATGGCGGAGCTTGAGAAGAGTTCCGAGGCACAAAGCCAAGTTACCGCCGTGCAGACGCAGACGACCAATGTGCATGGTGATGCCATCCAGACTGTTACGAGTGAGTATCCCCCATCGTGATATGATGCTGTCGATACCGAACTCACGCCCGTGTACAGCCACGAACTACGAACAGCAGGTGTTCAGTAGCAAATCTGACTGGCGTGTCCGTGCCATCTCCGCGACACACCTGCCTCTTCGCCTACAACACATCTATGTGTCAAACGACGATGTCAAGGACGACGCCTCATCATACACCTACGTTCTCCCGAAGAACATCTTGCGCGCATTTATCACAGCTGCGGATCTCCGTACACAGGTTGCCGCCTACTTGTACGGTGTATCACCGCCGGACAACAAACAGGTCAAGGAGGTCAAGGCGGTTGTATGGGTTCCTCAACGTGGAAACAACAACAGTGTCGAACTGCCCTCCCAGTTGCCGCGCGACGACTTCCTCCTTAAGGATCTCGAACCGCTGGGTTGGATCAAGACGCAGGCCTTGGAGTTGCCGCACCTATCACCGACGGACGTCACTACTCAGGCCAAGATCATGGCCGAGCACCCAGAATGGAGCTCGTCTTCAATCTGTATCACGTGTGCATTCACGCCGGGCTCAGTGTCGCTTTCGGCACACACATTGACGGTAGCTGGGTTCGAGTGGGGCCGGAAGAACACCGACACATCGCCCAACCCTCCCGGGTTCAATCCCAACATGTCGGAGCGGGTGCAGTTGCTGCTTTCGGATCGAATTCTTGGGATGACCCTGGTGCCTGAAGGGCGCGTCTGGAATTACGGCGTCGGGCTTACACAAGCGTGGTCGCCGAACATGCACTTTTCGGTGCAGCTCGACACGCCGCTGCTGTTCTGGGCGGAGGAGCATCGTCCGACTGCCTTCCTTTCGGTAAGTTTATCTGGCTTTTTCGGTCCCAAGGATGCTGACTTACGGTTGTGTTCCTTTCAGTTCGCGAACCTCGAGACTGGAGACGACAGTGCCGACGTTGAGAACGCGCTCGCATAAAACTTACGCTTACGCTGTCTGGGATTGCTTTGCTTTGTATCGCATGTATTGTACTCGTATTACCTCGTATCATGAAATGTAATGTCTCTTTGCATCTTGTATCTGCTCTTCTGGCGGACGCATTGGATTACATCGTTGCGAGTAGCGCAAGAGATCGAAGTACGTTCAGAGGCGTAACCTTGGTAGTTGGTCGCCGTTAATTGCCTGGCGATCCGGCCTCCTATTAGCCTGGGAGCATCGGGGTCTAGACGCGGGAGTGATGGCACTTGCTTTACCGGGTCAGGTTCATAATTGCGCGTATAGGTGGACCCAAGGGAAGAGGCGAAAAATGCTACTTAAGCACCACGGCTACCACGGCTACGACGGGGAGGGCCAAAATTGAATAAACGCCTACGGAAGCATCTTGGCGGGCAATTCGACGACCGCGACCGCGACAGAGAGCTTCTCTCGCCTCTCCGCCAACGTCGCCTGACCCTTCCCACTCACCCACCCCGACGCCGCTCTCGACGAGCTCGGTTCCGTCGAGGACACATGGAACGGCGCGTCTGAGCCCCGATGCTCCAGCTGCAACTCGCGCAGGTACGTGCGTTCAGACTTCTATCAGAGCGTCCTCACGCTTCTTGATGAAGGCTCGTGCTGACACAAGATCCTCTCCTTGTTCTCTCCCCTCATGCCTCTCCTGCCTCCTCGACGCCCTCAATCACGCACAACCCCCAGTCTGCATCGTCCGCCTACGCGTCCTCGATGTCGCTCACCTCCCGCCCCGCGAGCCCCGTGAACTCCCCCGCGCCGGCCGCGCGGCCCTTCCGCTTCTCTTCTGCCCAGCACGACATGAGCTCGGGTCGCAGAGATAGCAAGCTCTCTGAGCTTCTCTCTCGCAAGCGCACCTCGTCGCTGCCACCTAAGAAGGACAACGGTGCTACCCGCGGTGCGTGTCTCTCGCAGTCTTTCCTCCACTTTCCATCGGAGCGCCCGCATCTTCGTCCACGTCCATGGACTGCTCCTGCCGTCGACACGGATATTGGATGCAGCGGTGTCGCATCGCCCCCAACTGCCTTCCGACTCTGCGTCAGAAAGCGGTATATATCCGGGCATGTAGGCTGCTTCGTGGGCGGCGCGCCTGGCCTCCGCACGCCAAAGGACCGATGTCATTAGGCGGACGTCATAAGATACTGAGAAATTGGCCGGAGCCTGTTCGTTTCCATGCCGCGCCATCTCCATCCCAGCGTCTTGTCCGAGTGCTCTTATATGCGTCCAACACTGCTGACTGGCGACGCTGTCAGACCCGTTCACAGCGCATCCCTCGGGCTCTGCGTCGTTCGTCACCTATGAAGCCTCCGCCACCCCTGCTGCTTCATCCTCCATGTCTCCCGCCTCTCCGTCCAACCCACAGCAGAGCCCCCTAGCCGGCCCGCCAAAACGCGCGCGTGGGAGTATGCTTCTCTCCTCGGGTATCTCGCTCCCGTTTTCACGCCAGCGCAACAAGACCAAGAAAATACGGCCGCCGCCACCGGCTACTCAATTCATGTTCTCGGAGGTGATAGAGATCTCTGCGCCTCCACCGCTGCCCCCAGAGGAGGATGAGGACCGCGACCGCTTACGTGACGCGGCCGCACAGTCTATAGGATTCGACCCAGTCCTCCTGGAGGATCGCGAGAGCGTCTCCTCGCGGTCGCACATTCGCTCGTTTTCCGAGTCGCATGCGCGCTCGGAAAGGTCGAGATCACGCTCCCGGTCCAGGTCGCGTTCCCCTTCGCCAACGCGTATGCGGTCAGCGCGCCCGGCAGGCTCCCGCGCCGAGACGCCTGTCGTGCGTACTCTGCCGCCGTTCCCTACGAATCGGGCGGCGCTCGCCCCATGGATCCAGCGTACTTCGCGAGTCTTCAGGCACTATCCACCAACATCGCTCTTGCTCTACGCTCTTTCGAAGCAGTGGAAGAGCCGCACCCTCGTCCTCACTTCCTCGCCATGCCCGTCATCTGGTCCGCCGACACATACGACGTCGTTCTCCTCGCAGTCACAATCCCCTTATTCCACGCTTTCGTCGTCGTCACAGCCGCAACATGTAGCCCACCTGCATGTTTTCAAGTCGGATGGCGTTAACGACCGTGAGATGGAACGGGTCGAAATTGGTGCAGATAGTGTGGTCTTCGTGGCTGACGAAGAGATCGGTGGCCGGCGCGGTGTTGTGAAAGTGGGTGGAGTGGGAGGCGCAGAGATGACTCTGTCCATGGCCGACCAATCGGAGTGGATTGATGCTATTAAGCAGGCAGTGCTCAGCGAGAGGTATGATCTTCTATGTCAGTTTGAGCATAGGAGCGCAGCTACTCACGATGGTTTGTTGATGATTCGTATAGATCCGTACGTGCCGGCTTGGGTGCGCTGACCCACAGCAATGGCGTAGAGCCTCGAGGAGATTTGGACGTCATGCTTTCGATGCGTGCGCAGGGCATCTTCACCCCTCCCCCTCCTGCAACTCCTGTGACTTCAATGTCGTCGGCCGCATCTCATAACATGACAGCTGGGGGGACCACGTCGTCACCTGTTCCTTCGTTGCGTTCCATATCTCCCCAGCTCTCGCGCCCGCCCTCTGTCGCAGTCTCCGCGCTACGTGGCCTTTTCGGAGCAAACCGCCCTCGTTCGCCTTCCGCAGCGACCTTAGACACGAGCATGAATGTGGTGTCTGAACGTGATGGCACCGAGACACCGCCACCTATGGAAGACTCTTCATTTGGCCGTGCAGGGACAAGCTTGTTGAGCATGCTCCGGTCAAATAGCGTCTCTGGCGAGCGACCTCTCTCACCAACTACCCCTATCTCGTCCGTTCCAACCACACCGCGAGTCGGGACCACCTCACCGGTCGACCTTCCGATACAGATGGGCCTGATCTCCCCTCCGGGGCCTGTACCCTCGCTCGACCAGAAGATCTTGCAGGACCACGACCGTGACAGCCTGCTGCCATCTATCGGCCGAGACAGGAATATCGGCCTCGGGCTCACAGGCTTGAATGGTGGGAGCCTCGACGAGCATGTTACGCGGTTCCACAGCAGCGGCATTCCATCTTTTGGTTCCGCGTCATTGCAGCCGCCGCCTCGCCGGCGGGCCTGGACTGCGAGCGGAGCCCCGCCCGTCGCACGCGCAAACGGCGACAGGAACGGGTTCGCGTACACGCACGCCAATCTGAGCACGGCGGAGACACTTGGTGTGAGGCATAACGGGAGCGCGTTCCTGTCGCCCCCGGTGACGACGTCGCCGGCTATGTCGACCTCGACGTCCCCTTCCGTGAACTCGCCCTCTACGACGTCGAGTCCGAAGTTCAGTCCAAGCCCCAGCCTCAGCCCCAGCCTTAGCGCGAACGGCGGTGGGGGGCTTTCGGCGTCCCCATCCAAGGATGACGGTCAGCCGCGCTCATCGTGGTCATCGGTCTCTTCTCTTGGGTCCGGCGAGCAACAACCGCCTAGAACTTCGTTTGAGTTCGGCACGAAGCGTTGGTCACGACAAGGTGTTCTGCCTAGGCGGCTTTCCCCTCCGAACGGCCCGCCCCCGGCTACCCCTCCATCGGGCCCCGCCCCGTTGTCTCCCTCGTCACCCGGACGGACCTCGTTGCACCAGCAACGACCGCATCCGTACGCAGCGGATAGCCCCCCTAGTCGCTCGTCATCGCAACGCTCGGCACATAGCCCGCAGAGCATCATATCGGGTTTCCAGAGCTTCTCCAAGCGCGCCTCCGGGTCGTCTCAGCGGAGCGACAGCACGGTCAGTACAACCCAGAGTCATGCTACTCCGGCGGCCCGTGGAAGCGGTTTGTTGGGGCAGGCCCTCACGCTGTCGATGCCGCAGGCGACGACGCATGTGAGGCCAAGGTCGTCGCATAGGGTGTCTATGCCGCCCCCTCAGAGGCCTGTGCCGAGTATGGCGCTTCCGCCGACGCCTCAGTCGGGAGTGGACGAGTTTGGTAGTGGCGGTAGTGGGAGGACGGAGGTTATCCCGCTCCCCTCGCCTATGCCTCTGCCGACGTTGAAGGCTTACCCAACGCGGCCTCCACATTCGGCCCCAGCCACGAAGACGACGTTCAGAGAGACGTTCACGCTGCGAGCGTCGCGGTTCTCGTTGTCGCCACCTACCACTCAGCCGCCTTCCTCTGCCCTGCCCCCGCGTCCAGACGAGGTTCCAGCCACGCGAGCCTCGCGACATCGGCGTAGCACAAGTGGTGGTACTCCGAACCTCCCTACCATCCCTGCGTCTCCCAACCCTCTCATCACTCCTGCTGCTCCGCCGAATGGACCGCTCCCACCACCACCTATCGCGCCCACGCCCTCGCGCCCTACTCCTACCCTTCTGATCAAGCGCCGTTTGCGCATGCTCAGCGCGCCGTCTCCCTCCCCGCCACCTTCGGTCCCGATCCCCAATCCACCCTCACCCGCGCCCTCCTCCATCAACCCTTACTCCGTCCCCTCCACCCCAATCGGCGAGCCCATCATATCGTTCCAAAACGACACCAGCTTCATGTCGATCTCGACCACCCCGCCTCAGTCTCCGCTCTCGGTAATCTCCCCACCATTAGTGTCCCCTCTCCTCCCTCCTCCCCCAGAACAGTCGCCCGAGATGCGCGGCATCACGTCGCTCTCGCCTCCACCCCGCCGGGGGTCGAAACAGATCTCGGTGCTGCAGATGGAGGACAGCGAGGACGAGGACGAGATTGAGCAGGGAGACGAAGAAGAGAAGCTGGTCGAGTTCAAGCTGGACGGCGACTCGGGTTCGGAGCCCGAGCGGAAACCGCTGTCGCTCTCACCTCAGGCGTCGCTGGAAGACGTGCGCACATAGGCAAACATTCATTTCCGTTAGATGCGTTATATTCTTTCAGTCTCCTTCCTCCTTCGTCGCCTTATGCACTCACCTTCCTGTGGGCGATGTCAGTTGGCGTGCTCGCGCCGGGCTTCTGCGTGTATTCGTATACTTCGTGGGTTCAGGAGTTACGCCTTTTGCGTATCCTCTTACTCTGCTTTGTTCTTCGTGTTTGCTCGTTGGTGTGTTTTCGTGTCTGTCTCTTCGTGTATCATACGCTCATCACGACGTAGGTACGCCCTCTCACGTCTCAGTCGCGACATTCTTCTCTTCGTGCTGTATATGCTTTCCTCGGAGGTTCTCACACGGCCAGGAACGGTGCATCGGGTCTCCCACTACTCCTCACACATACATACGTACATGCGTATATTCAATTACAAGTACCATACGTACCCCAGTCCCTGGTTTTCTTCTGTCGTTTCGTTTCTCACTCATGATGGTTGCGGGGCGCAAACTCTGTAGTTGGCATTGTACAATATTCATGTTACACCGTCTTGGAACCGCACTACTTGCTCTGACTTTGTCTCGTCGGATGTCACGTGAACAGCCAGTCTATTGCGGCAATGAACACTGCGAGAGCAAGCAACAATGTCATGTATTCTGAACAAATAAGTTGTGCGTTCAGAGCGTGCGCATGATTAGGCAGATGATACGGTAGTCTATAGCTTGACACCAGTGTGAATACTCGCGATCCCATCCCAAAGGTCGATCCAGGCGCCACCCTTGCCCTCGTGCAGGGCGCCAGTGCTAAAGCCCGCATCCTGGATCATCTTGGCGAAGTCAGGCTGGGGCGGGAACTTGCGAATGCTTTCGACAAGGTACTGGTACGATGCGCGGTCCCCAGCAAGGATGGTGCCGAGGAGCGGGATGACTGAGAACGAATACTGGTCGTAGACGCTGTGAGGTCACACGAATGCGTGTCAGCAGCAGAGTACTAGGGAAAGGGACCAGAAAAGGGAGGCGGCTTACGTGCGGAAAAGGGGGTTGTTGACATGGCTGAACTCGAGGCATGCGAAGGTGCCGCCGGGTTTCAGGACGCGGTAGGCCTCCCGGAGGACGTCGGGGACGGAGGTGCAATTGCGGATGCCGAACGCGATCGTGTAGACGTCGTACGTGTTCGAGGGGAACTCGGACTCCGGCATCGCCTGCGCGTTCGCCTCCTTAAACGCTATCTGGGGAGCTACGCGCGGTAAGGAGCAACGACATGTGAGCATAAGGGTTCGCAGCGACGAGGGCACCCGTGGGACGCACTGTTGTGGTACATGGTCTTCTTGAACCGCTTGTACCCCTCCTTGAGCATCTCGCCGTTGATGTCCACCACGTCCACGCTCGTCTCCCTGTCCGCGTACTTCTCGCGTGCGAAGTCCAGTATCCGCAATGCAATGTCCCCAGTCCCGCCTGCGACGTCGATGCAACGGAGTGGGCCGCGCGACCCAGGCTTGAGACGCGAGACGAACTCGTCCTTCCAGAGGCGGTGCACCCCGAGGGACATGGCGTCGTTCATGAGGTCATACGAGGACGCGACGCTGTCGAAGACGTTGCGCACGAGCGACTCCTTCGCCTCCTCCGGCACGGTCTGGAACCCGAAGTGCGTTGTGCGCTGCGAGTCCCTGTTGTCATTGAAGGTGCTGCTGCTCGCCGAGGCGCCAGCCTGAGTCTGTGTGCTCTGTGGAGCACTTTGGTGGTTGCGCCGCGCAGCGACGAGAGACGAAGGACAGTGAGGACGGCAATTTGAGAGGACGGGCCTCGGGTGGGCAAGACGGAGAGTGCGCTGCATGACGGAGTGCGCACCGCGGTGTGCTGGGGTCTCCTCTCGCTGGTGAGCATGACCGCGTCGCGTGACCCCGAGAACTCTGTGTACACTTTCAATTTCTCGATCGCGCGTCAATTTGATCCCCGAGTCCGTGTCTTCCAGACTGCCAGTGACTTTCAGCCACTTTCCGTCTCGCTCTCCAGAATCGTCGCTGCACCTCTCGCATCTTACGCCATGGCTGTGACCGCGCTGGAGAAGGGAAAAGGACGCGCACGTCCGGAGGACCTCGAAGCGGACGAGATTGAGCAGACTTCAGCGGCGAGCGCATCTTCCGCAGACTCAGACTCTTCGGGCTCGGACTCGGACTCGGACAGCGACTCCCCGGACGACTTTTCCTCCTCTGGTTCAGATTCAAATTCTGAAGACGATGTGGCGCCAGAGTTTCTCGAGTCACTACTAACACAAGCACGGCAGAACGTGCGAGCAAAGGCGAAGCAGCTCGCAGGCGGAGGAGGGGAGGAGGAGTTCATCCAACTTGGCGGCGACGAGGGGGACAATGACACGACAGCTAAGTACGGTCGTATGGCGACTCTCTGCGCGAATGCGAGGATTTACCACCTGCATGTCAGGCCGCTCCCGCCGCTAGACACCGGCTCGCTGCCCGCGCCCTACATTACACTCCCGGAAACCCGCGGGGCGGTCCCCTCGAAGCTCCGCGACCCAGACGTGGAGCACGTCCAGAAAGTCGCGTCGTCAATACAGGTCCCCGCCGCCCCCGCGCCTCCAGAGCTGACGAAGGACGGCAAGAAGCTCACTAAGAAGGAGAGGAAGCAGGTTCGTCCATGGTCCCCCCGAAATCCCTCACAAAACAGTCCCTAAGCCCATTGGCTTCGACCCACAGATGAAGAACAAAACCGCAGGGCCGGCATGGTTCGACCTCCCCGCACCCGCCGAAGCGGACCTTCCGCGCCTGTACCGCGAGGTCGAGGCCCTACGCCTGCACAAACAGCTCGACCCCAAGCAGTTCTACCGCAAGGAGCCGGGAGAGGGCAAAGGCATCAAGGGCCTGCCCAAGCACTTCGCGGTGCGTGCGCTTCCCCTCCTCCCCCCTCCTCTTTCGCTCCGCCCGCGAGGTGCTGACCGGCCGCTTGGCTGCAGATTGGCAGGATCCTGCCGACGGACACGCCCTTCGGCGGCGCGAGCGCGGACAACCTTCCCCGCACCGCCCGGAAGCGCACGCTGGTGGACGAGCTCGTCGACGACGCGGAGGCGAAGAGCTACGCCAAAAAGAAGTTTAAAGAGCTCCAGACCGTGCGCGGCGCGAAGGGCAGGGGGACGCTCGCGGCCAAGAAGGCGCTCCGGAAGCCGAAGTGGTGATAGCGTCATGTACGTCGTTCGGCCGCAGAGCCTTCTTGTGAATGTGCGTCGGTGCTTGAGTAGCAGAGTATCAGGCGCATGTCGACGGGATCTGTTACGACCCATCCAGCTATACTCGTTTGAGGTGTTACCATGCTGTCGACTGGCTTGGCGGTTCGGAACCCACGCAACTGTCGATGTCTCAGCGCGCCGGCGAAATCGAAGACTTGATGCAGACGAACGGTGATTAGAACAACGTCAAATATGACGAGGGCTGATTGTATAGAACTGATAGGTGTTGCAATCGGGATCCGAGTTAGCGAAGAGAGCTTTTTGATGCGTACTGGTACAATGGGGTTTGCGGTACACAGAGACAGCGAGTGGGACTAGAACGAGAAGGACGGGGAAATGTCCGGGTAAGAGCCAAAGTCAAGCAAGAGCGAAAAGCGCAATGCATGGCGGAGGGTGTACGGCCGCGGGACGGACGCAACGGTCGGGACAGGCATAGCCGTACGTATGAAGATGTCGAATGTATGTGCACGAAAATGAGGGAAGCGGACGTAGACGTGATCGGCCTGAGGGGCGACATACGCCATTTTGGGGCTATGTACGGCGGAGTGGAGGAGACGAAAGACTGGTAAAACGGAGGGCTAAACAAACAAACAGAAGCACGGACGGCGAGAGAATAGAGAAGGGGGGGAACACAGAATGCCCGTCACAGCACAGGGCGTCGCGCCCAGCCACAGCCCATACCCAACATCAGAGAGAGAAAGCATGGAGAAAGCAGGCGAGACAACACAACACACGCTCCATGAACTACACCGAGCGAGCACATACACGCTTTGAACACTTCGTCCGACCACTTACTCTCTTGCCCCACGGGTCCTACTCCTCCATGGGCTCAGGCGAACGCGCCTCCCTCCTCGGCGCAGGCGATGCGTCCCCCTCCCTCTCCCTCTCCCTGTCCCGCTCGCGCTCCCTTTCCCTCTCCCGATCTCTGTCCCGCTCGCGCAAACCACCCTCGGATCTACCCTCCGCATTCTCAGAAGAAGCGACAGCGTACGAGCCATATCCCTCCCCGCCCTGCCGCTGGGCCGACGACCGGCGGACGAGGCCCGGCTTCTCCGACACCGACCCGCGCGCCGCGCTAGGCACAGACGGCGCCGTGGGCAACGACATCCGCGTACTCCGCGGCGACCACGGGCGGTGGTTCCAGATGCCGCCGCCTGCTCCAGGGGCTGCAGACGGGGGCGGGGGAAGCGTCCGCCCGAGCGGGGAGTCGCGCTGTGGATGTGGATGGCTCTGGCTCTCCCGGTCAGCGTGCCGGTCGCGGTCGCGCTGGTGCGCGCCCGCGGAGGACCGGTGGCCTTGACCAGACTCGTTGCGCGGGTCCAGGCGGATGGCAGACACGGAGAGACGGCGGCCCATGTCGTACGGCAGCGGGGAGCCGGTCTGCGAGCCGGGGAAGCTCCTGCTCTCGCTGTCGCGGTCCAGCTGCGTGGGGGACAGCGCGCGGCGCACCTGCTCCGGGGGGCCCGAGCGGCCCAGCGCGGAGTGCTCGACGGGCGGGAAGGTGTACGTCTCGGGCACAACCGCGGAAGGGGTGCCGGAGGCGGGGACGCCGTTCGCCTTCCCCTTCCCTTTGAGGCTGGACGGGCCCGTGTTCGGGCTGTACCCTGGGACCGCTGCGAGAGACATGCGCGCGTTCCCATGCGACGGGGCGTGCAGCTGGAGCGCGTGCTCGAGGTCTTCTATCCGTCTGTGCAGCCCGACAATCTCGTCGTGCAGAGGCGCGAGCTGCCGCTGGACGGCGGCCGCGACGAGCTCGTCGAGGTGCTCCTGCTGCCTCTGCAGGGAGACGGTGAGCGCGTGGCTTTTCTGGAGCTGCTCGCCCAGCCAGCCCTTGAGCGTCTTCGAGTCCGCGAGCGCGTCGTAGAACATCTCGAACGGGGCCAAGAACGCCGACTTCTCGTTCGTGTAGTTCGGGTTCGCGAGCGTCGACGGCGTGGGAGGGACAAGCGTGGTCGCGATCGGGACGGAAGCGGTCGGCGGCGATCGCCCGGTGGTCGAGATCGAGCCCACGTTCAGGTGCGTCGTCGCGGTCGACGGCCCCGCGGCGGCGGCCGTGCGCGCCATGCTCAGCCGCGTCGGCGTGGGGGGCACCCGCCCCGCCGTCATGCGCTGCATGCCCTGCCCGGGCCCAAGGACTGGAGGCAGGCTCGGCAGCGCCATGCTCGCAAACCGCCCGGAGGGCCCCCCCTGGTTGATGCCCGCGCGAGGTATCGGCGGCGCGCTCTGGATGGAGGGCTGCAGGCGATCGGCGGTAGCGTCGAGCGGGCTGATCATTATGTCCGCGGGCTTGCCCTTCGCGCCGCCCAGCTGCCTGGTCGCACGCCGTCGTGCGAAGCTTATTGGCGGGGGCGGAAGCGCGTGCGCAGGCACCGAGCCGTGTTGCGGCTCGGACGGGTGGCTGGGATGTGGCGGAAGCTGCAAGATCGGCTGCGCGGTGACATGTGCAGGCGGAGGGGGTGGACTCGTCTGGCGTGCAAGGGGCGAGACTGCACGGTTGGAAGGCGGCGCATTCCCCTGGGGCCCTCCCACAACCGAGCGTCGGGAGCCCGGTGCTCCCCCTCCTGCGGCACTGGCATTCGGGCTGCGTCGTCCCGTGCGCGGGGGCGGATGTTGTTGTTTAGCCTGCTGCTGCGAATGGCGCTCGTCTCTGTCTTGCGAAGGGGGGTGCGTTGTCGGGGCGTTCGCAATACTGACCGATATTGACGGCGAGCCGGCGCTGACGATGCCTGCGGTGCTCCCCCGGCGAGACTCGATGAGGTCCTTCTGCTGCTGCTTGATGCTGAGCATCGAGCGGACCTGCTCGATCGCCGCGGTATCGTCGCGGTTGATGGGCAGGCCAATGACCACGGGCGAGATCGATTTCGTGGCATCCGTGGCCGGCGTCCTGACGTCTGTATTGATAGGGTGCGAAATGCCGCTTATCGTCACGCGGCGTTTCTTGTTGGGCGACGATTTCGCGGCTGGAGGCTGAGGCGCGACGTCGGCGTTCGCCTGGGCCGGGTGGGGTTGGGACGAATCGTTCGCGGCGGGCGGCGCGTTGCGGGCGGAGGGGGAGGGGAGGTCGTCGTACTCGGACTCCTCCTTGATTCGGACGCTCCTGGGGGAGCGTCGGTCGCTAGAGGGCGCGGTTTAGGGCGAATTGTGGACGGGGAGAGACGCGGAGAGGACGAATGGAGCACGCACTTTGAGTCGTCGCTGTTATCATCCCCGTGGCCAGGGGCGTCCGGATGGGAGCGTTTCCTGGAAGCCTGGCCGTGCCGGTCGTGCATGGACGGTCGATGGTCGTCGTGGAGGGAGGGGGACGGACGGTTGCGTTCGAAGGGCGAAGCGCGGGACTGGATTGGAGGAAGGGCATTGTTGGCGTCCGAGAGTCTGCTGAGCGAGGGAGCGCCGAAAGCTTGGGCGAAGGATGGAAGCGACTGCGGTGGTTGTGTCGCCATGATATCACCACGGCTAGGACGGTGCGGCTAGGAGGGCAGACGTGAGCTAGAGACGGAGGGCGACGTCGGGCGCAGCGGAGGGGCGCATGCGGTCGGCGGGGGAGGTGGACGGTGGTGTGAGTGAGAGCCGGGGAGGCGGGGCTGGGAGTCGGACTGGAGGGCAGTCGATCACGGCGAGGGAGTTGATCAGCCAGCGACGACAACAACAAGACGACGACGACAACAACAACAACAAGAACAATGTTGTGCTCTGCCCGTCAGATCAGAACCAAGAGCTTACTCGCGCTGCCAGCCCTGCAAGGCAGCAAACTTATTATCGTCTGCTGTCTGCGCATCTGCCATCGCCAACGGGCCATCTGTCTATGTATACCCGCCCTCGCGCCAACACAGCTCTCCCGGCCACCGACGCTCCGATCCCACCTGTGCCCCCAAGCACGCACGAATGCTCCTGCTGTGCACCCGCCGTCAACCTTAATCACCTCTGTGTGTCCGTCCCAGACGATACGTCGGCCGTCAGAACTGTACCCGCAACCGCGCGCACCACGCCCTCGGACGCTCGCGGCGGTGGCGGGCGATGCGCGACCTGCCGCGAAGGGCCTGTCGTGCGCGGCGCCGCCCCCAGCCGCCAGTGCCAGTGCCAACGCCGAGTGCGCGACTTCCCTGCCTCGTGCCGCATATTGCATCGTATGCCGCGTCTGCACATCCCCATCGCCTCGCGAGCCGCAAGGGCTCGATATAATATGATGATCTATATCGCCCTCGCCCGCCCCACACCTCGGCCAACTCTGTTTTATTGCGCGCCCCAAATGGGGTGACAACAGCGCATCCGTTTCGGGCGCATCGAGCCCGACAGTCCAGCTCCCCGCAATGAACATTCCCTGCCACGAGGCCCCACCGAGAATCAATATTGTCTCCGAGACTCCGTACATAGCTTGGCTCGCGCGCGCCCAGCGCGAGGCGTTTCCCGAGCGTCGTGCCGTGCCGTCCACCCGCGAGGTTCCCCTCCTTCCCCACCCTCGACGTCGACGTTCTAGCACGTCCTTCTCGACGTACGGAAGCCTGATCCATTCTCTTTGTCTGCGACTCTGAGCCTCATCATTGCGTCCACCTCGCTTATCACTTCTACCAGCACTGAAGCCCCCGCAGCTTGTACGCACGTCGACACCCGGGGGCAGCCTCGCTCGATCCGCCGCCCCAGCACCCACGCACGGTACGTAGCGGTGCATCCAGCACGACGGAACGCTCCCGCACCAGCTGACCGCGAAACGCAATATTCAGCTCCGTCGGGCCTATCGCACGCGCCAGCGCACTCGCGCCGTCTCCGGACGACGTCCAATTGCCGTCTGTCCCCTGCCCTCGACGTCCTTCCGCTGCGAGCCTTCTAGCCCGCGCACCGCTGCGCCAGAAGGCGCCCCCCAACAAAAGCGTAACGTCACCCGCACGCTTCCCATGGCCTCTCACACGAACGTTCCGACCGCACCCACGACTCCACGAATCCGCCCCGAATAGGTCTCATTGCGAGCCCGGTCTGGCCCAGCGTGCACCCGAGTCCGTGGACGATGACCAGCCCCGCGCGAGCTTATCCACCACACACGCCCGCTGCTGCTGCTGCTGCTGCTGCTAGACGGTAAATGGCCACAAACGCACTCCAGACGCGGGCTTCCTTCTCGCAGCAAGGGCCACCTTCGCCGACCGAAGTTGGCAGGCCGTCTGTCTGCACGGCCATGGCGGGCACGCGCATCGATCGGCTGCCCCGAGAACGCCAGGGGCCATGGGTGACGTTTCAGCCGACGTGCTATGTAGCTCGGGGCTACTGCCCTCGTCCACGGGGCGTATATCCTCAGCATATCCAGGTGCTCGGTCAACGCTCGCTCATTGGACACACATGGGACTTTCGGCAACGTTCTCTTCTCGCTGCTTCGGCGGCTGCGATGCGCATTGCCAGTGGCAGACGCGGGAACAGCTTCGCACGGCGCGTCGCGGACGGGCGAGCGTGCGAGGACGGTTCGACGATCGCAGGACAAGGCTCTCTGTCTCGCTTGGCCGCAATCGGGACAAGTTCGCGAGGCCTTGTTCTCCTTCGAGGGTGCATCCCTCTAACGCCGTCTCTGGGCTCTCCCTGCTGCCACCCCGCAGTTTTCGGCTGAATGGCGTGTGCGCGGTGCAAGGGTACGCCGCGTGCGCGTGCATGTGGCATCCGGGTGCGAGAGATTTTCGTCCAAGAGACCGATGAGGGGCTCTTGACGTCGTCCCTGCCCGTCAGGCACCCGGCGAGGATATCTTTCCGCCTAAGCCCGCCCCAATCTCGTCGCGCGCGTGGGACCTGAGCTGCATCGTTGCGCCGAGCGCCGTCAGGAAAGGCAACGCCACCGCGCGACCGTGCGGGAGAGACAGATCGCCCCCCTCGACAGAGGTTGTGGGATTGACGTTGAACGGTTTCGCGATGACGCTCGCGACGCCGTCGTCGACGCTGTCGCTCCGAGTTTGACGGGGCCGCATGGTCGCTCCGGACCTCGTACGAGCGACAGATAGCGCATACAGCATTGGCGATTAGCAAGCAAGACAGCACAGGCACCAGACGGGCTGCGGCTGTTCAGACAACATACTAGACAGGCGTATTGATAGCACGAGCACTGTCCTTTCGTCCATATTGGAAAAGATACGCTCCCCGAGATCCTCCGAAACGAGGGCAGATCTGGGCCCATGAAAATGCAAGATGAAAGAACGATTCAACACATTCCACGCGACCATGGGCGGCCTGGCAGAAAACGTCAGTCAGCATAGGGACGGACGGATGAACGGACTCGAGGGAAGGATCTGCACCCGCGAAGGCAGGCACCGCTCTACTCAGTCAGTGCCTACTTGGTCCGCGTCTGTGCCTGGCCGTGTACAAATCGCGATCAGACGGACACTCACCCAATCTCTCCAGACCACCTCCGCGCTCCCATGGCTCCCTTCTGGGCACAAGAACGCGCACTCGAACAAGCAACGGCACCCATTAATGGGCCTCCTCGCACCACGCCGCGGGCAGCACCGTACCTGACGCCTCCCTCCACGAAGCTTCGCTCTTCGCGACAAGTACGAATCGATCGTCCTCCCCCCTCCCATCTTCGACAAGGCACGCACCCCTTCGCGCGGAAGCAACGGTGCCCTGGCAGCAGCGTCGCGACACGCTAGTCGTCGAGCGCAGGCTCAGGGCGGAGGCTTCCTCTTCTTCCGCACCGCAAGCACCGTGACCGGCTGCGCTGCAGGCGCAGCCGTGCCTCCCGCGCGCGACGTCTCGGCTCCGCCATCTGCTCCCGCGTCGCCTCGAGGCGCGAGCGGCGCGTTCCGCACCTCGATCGATCCGTATATGTGCGCCGTGTACGTTTCGCGGGTCGCCACCGGGTCCGGGAACGGGTTGGGGGAGATCTCTGGGAGCCCGCCTGCTGGACGCCCTGCGGTGAGGTGCGACCGTCCGGGAGGCGGAGTCTGCGGCGCCTCCAACCGCATTGTGCGGTTTGGCTCGGGCGTGTGCGGTCGTTCCGGGTGCTCCGGAGGGGATGAAGACGGGGCAGGTACGGTCGCGGGGTCGGCTGGCGCGTCGTCGCAGAGCCCCTTGATCACGCCCTCCAGAGTCTCCGTAGCGCGAATCGCGCGTTCGCGCGTCGAGAACTCGTGGTGGTTCATGAGCGAGGCGACAATGCGCCGCACGAGCTTCGGGGCGACCTGGCCTGGCTGAGGCGCGAGCGGCGACGGCTGCGACGGCCTGTCCTGGTTCACCGGTGGAGGCGTAGAGACGCACAGGGTGAAGAATCCCGTGACCGCGCCGGCGACGCACTCCTGGCGGAAAGACATGCGCTCCCAAAACTCGTCCGCTGAAACGAGCGACAGCTCTCCCTCTGGACGACCCTCCTTTTCCTTTTCCTTGTCCTCCTCGTCCTCCTGCTCGCGTGCAGGCTTCTTCGCGCCTCCTGGTCCAGACGAAGTGGGTGCTCGTGGTCGCTTTCGCTGCGGCGAACGGAATCCGCTCTCCGTGCTCTTGATGTACGCGATCTCATCAATGAACCGCGACTTCGGGTCGTCATCAAACCACGGTATGATGGTCCCCAAATTGTGTGGCGCGTCCGGGTCCGCACTGTTCGGACAAGGAAGGGGGATCTCGGTCTGCGAGTACGGATGCCCGTATACCCACTGAAATTTGGCGGAGGTGGAGGGGACGGCTCGCGACAACGCGCGGCTGATGGTGTGCGCTGCTTCCAGCTCAGAGTACCCGGGGAGAACGTAGAAGAGCTTGACCTTGCCGGTACCCTTCAGCCGCCCCACGATCTCCCCCGCGACCTCGCCGTACACCCGCTTCCACCATGCGCACAGTTTTACATCCGACAGCGGGCGTTTGCCCTCGAACTCGGACGAGTTCGGGAAAAGGTACTGGTTCTGAGCGCGCGCGAAGAGTTGGATCCAGAGGTGCTGGACTGCGATGGGACGCGTCACGGGGTCGGCATAGTAGGTGAGGAACGCACGAACAAGGGTGGCTGTCGGTGAGGGGGCAGACGCGTGGCCCGAGGAGTCAACTTTGGAGACGTACAAGACGCCACAGGACGTGGACGGGATGTTGTAGACCGACGCCTCGATGGCGGTGACGAGGACATGCGGTGCATCCGGGTCTTTCTGCTCCGAGAGCAAGACGAAGACATCCTGGAGGTACGTCCGGGGCCGCGGGCGTGCGTATGGGAACAGGCCGTTGTGTTTCCTTGGGACAGACGTGAGGACATGGATGTGGAAGGTCCTGGTCCCAGGGAGGTCAGCGAGGGCAGCCAACAGCTTGTCTCGCAGGGCCATCTCGTAGTGTCTCGAAGGCTATGAAACGAGGTTTTCGTGCATATTACCCAGCAAGGGCAGAGTTCGCTGCGGGGATGACGAGAGAACAAGATGCATTGGACGTGGTGGACGTTCGGGTTCTCACAGGACTAGCGCCCTACTGGCGCTCGCTCCGTAGTCGGAAATTCCCGCCAATTGGCGGGTTGTAACTGAGTACGACTAGCCCTTGCTAGTATCGGATGGCAAATAACCACAATGATTCGGCTGAAGACAGCGATAATCGACAAAGAGCGTTATACAGGGTATTGTCGACAAAGATACACTAGTGATGCCGATGTAAACGATAGCAAGAAACGACCGTAGTACATACGAATGCCTGCTGACCCGTGTAGCAAGCCAGTCCAATAATACCATAGATTATAGGAGATACAACGGACCCTCCGGGATATGCCGATGGCCCAGAGACAATTGTTCCGCATTGGACGATCGAGGAACTGGAACCTCAGACAACAGGACCGCCGGTGGCTGAGGAAGTTGACGTTGCGTCGTCATGGATGATTAGGTCCCTGGTCTCGACCTCCGTGATGACCTCCATACGTTCTTTGTCACTGAAGCTCTGTGTGCATGGTCATCTAGCAAAACTCTCATGAGCGTATAGATGGGCTGTACGACTTGCCTTGCTAGTGTATCGGGGGCTGTATTCCGTGATGGTCTCTACTGACACAGCAATGCCGTCTGGGCGGAAGGACTGGATGTTTCGCCCGTCAGCACACATAAATTGATATGCTAACAAGGATGGAGTACCTTGCGCGGCGTCTTGGGGGTCAGTTCAGATCCGGAGTTCGACTGAGGGTTGCCGAAGTTACTGAGCTGCAATGCGCCTTTCGCCACTTTATCTCGCAGCATCTCTCTGCTGTTCAAGCTGAGAGGTAATATCAGCATTCACATCGCGTAAGCCGCTGAGAGTCGACGTACAGAGCGAGGAACGAGTTGACGTAGCCTGCGCCATTAGGCTGTTAGTCAATAGACACAGCTGACACAAATTACACTCACATTTTCCCATGACCCAGAAGAAGCTCAGCCAGACGAAGTTAGTGGGCATTGCTGCAAACTGATGAGACGGGTCAACAACTGCTACTACGCGGAGAGACTGGCGAGTCGAGATGTTTTACTTACGGTCACGACGCAGATCGTCCCGATGATGCTAGATACGATTACAGCTACAAGCTATAGTCTTAGCTCAAATTTCCACGTACCTTGTAACCAGTCCACTGTTCACACTATACACCATAAGCATCGTCACAACGGAGTCAGTCCTGGGGCGAGCGTTAACATCATCCGAGAAAGTATTAGCAAATAACACTACCTCTTCAGTCCAGTGCGTTTCTTGTACAAGTAGTAACACATGGCCACGGCGATGATGATGTCTGATACTGCAGCGGAACCAAGGCCAAGGCATGTCACCCACTACATGAGGTATCAATCTCCGTTGTGCGCGTGAGACCAGCGAAGTACTCCCTATCAAGCTATTGAACTTCGAGTAGCGACCGAGGATGAAGCTATGTGATGGTTTACTAGCAGCACTGGAAGTATGCTGCGATGAACACGCACGATTCTGCGGTGAAGACTGGTCATTTCCGCGTGTGAGCACAAGAAACGAAGACAAACACACGCTCTGAACTTCTCACCGACGCCAAGTCCTGCGAAGCCATGACAATGCCTTCAGTCCCCGGGTTTGCCGCGGAATGCAGTGGAAGGGGCACTTACCAAAATGAATGCATGCCAAGATAACCTGGGCCGGGAACATCACGATATGCGGAAATACAAAGGGCATGCGTACTCACGATGATACCCGTTAAAATCCAGTTCTTGCTCACTGAGAAGCAGACTGTGAGAACAGAACCTTCGCACTCTATCAGCGGATCCACCCACTCATCCACACACGTCGAGCGAAGAATCTGTACCGGGGAATCAGCGAAGAAAAACCAGCCTAGAAGCGACAGGTAGACGCACGCTTCGACGATCAGGCCAATGAGGCCCTTTCAATGCCGAGCATATGTCAGCACGATGCACCGCATGGACCGGGGTGAATCCTCAACTCACATTACAATCAGTTTGCAACTGGGATTATCTCCGTGTAAGAACATCTTACATCAGCGAAGCATAGAAGACTCACAGCCATACTCCTGAATGATGCCAGAAAGGTCAGTCCACTCACATACGGGATAAACACATGATGCTCACCATGTCGTTAGGTCCAGGTTGTCGTTGTTGCCAAAGTTCGTCACCAAATACCTGAGCATATGGGCTATCAACCACGGTAGGAATCTCGGAGATGGGACTTCGCACCAATAGATTGTACGTGTGCAAAGAATGAGATGCAGAGTATCCAGTGCCCTGGGACATTTCAGTCTGTGGTCGATCAACGCTGGGGGAAACAGAGCTCACGTTAGGACGATAACCTATGCATGCCGCGATCACCCTCAGTATAACGCGATGAGCCCTCAGTGAGCAACATACGAGCGACTTGACAAACGAGTTATCATTGGAATAATTCCTGCGGCAGCGTCCTGGCCATGAATGTCATAAGTCCATGTTTATACGATATGCGACGTACCTGAAGTAGCTGAAACTATGCGTGCCCGGTCAACCGTCTATCCAAGACCTGGATGCACTTCACGTACGTTTGTAGCAGTGTTATCCCGTACAAGCTACACATCTCATGTCAGTAGGTTAGGGATAACGAATCAAGGAGGGAACTCACCAAGCACCGACAACGAGGCCAACCAGTGCCGCACCGAACGTACTGTCAATGAAAGACATCCTCTCTCCTCTAACACACAAGCTGGGCCTAGGGTGGCACGATGGGGAGAGGGCGGGGTGCTGCGCGTCCATGCCCGCGCGAGATGGTATAAATGCGGCAGGCACTCGACCCTTGATACTCGCACATGACGGACACTCTTGACGACAAGTCCGGAATGGACACGGTGATGGTGCTTCTGCCGGCAGGAACGCGAGTACTAAGAGCGAGGAGGCCCGAGGGGGCTCCCGGATACTGCCAGTCCGCTCTCAAGGGTGATTCGCCGAGCCGAAGTCTGAAGTGCTTCTCTACGAGGCGTGGGTAATCGAAGTCGACGCAGATGCGCCACCGATTGTTCGTGAGTCAGTGAAGGTGTCTCCGGGATTCCGTGTCTTCCTATCCGAAGCCTCTGGGAATCGGCATGGTCTATTCGTGTTGCCTGCAACTTAGGTTTTAGAGCGGCCATGACGCTAGGTGCACACGATTGAGCTTCTGCTGGACCTTGACACTGATGCTCATTGCATTCTGAATTCAGCTGCTGACACAGGGACCCGTGCACAGCGATATGGCACAACAGGGTCTTTGTGAATGGAGATGCTTTCTGACGTATTTCGTTGTGAAATTGTCACAGTAGCGCACGTCGCACTTCTCGCGAAGTCTCGGGCGAGCTTAGCAAAGGCGCGAGGTTATCCGGGTCCTGAGCGGGAATCTCTGTTAGTTTCCCTCGCGAATACAAGCTCTGGACCTCACAACTGTTGCGGAGCTACATCTCCGATTAGGAACTCGGGTGAGACGCTGCATTGAACGATGCCTCATCTACAAGGCGAACAGCATGGCAGCCTGAGAGGTACATATCGTTCGATGACTCCTTGGGTTTCTCAGAACGGTTGCGTGAAGGCTGCATGCAAGAGGTGCCGTGTTCACGCCAGTGGTTGCTATGTCGCCCAACGACGCCCAACGGAGATGTGGCGGAAGTAAGCGTAATCTGCACAGCAATACGTCAGGACTACCTCAAGTGTGCATGAGGAGAAGGGTCACCCACCGTGGGTTGCTGGCGGACGGGTTCTATGGAGGCGGAGAGCAAGTACTTCGGATGCACTGGCGCCTCGTGGCTACCGCCCGTCAAGCAAAGCTCGTTTTGGCAGGTTCAGTAGTTCGCTACTGCACTAGTCCGTTCCGGCTTAAGGCATCTATTTCAATGACAGCGTCTTCCCAGGTCGTGCATCACACAGCTGCCGACATCGTCTATAGGAGAATCCTCGATGGATGCGTTCGCCTCAATACCAGTTTAAATCCGCCGAGGCATCACGTACCATGGGCGAAGCTCCCGCGACCGCCGCAAAGCACCGCCCAAGGCCTCTTCATCGGAACCATCCTTCCACATGTTAATTCTACTCGCTCTTCCGTAATCTCTGCCCCTAACGAAGCATCGAAAGGCATTCACAATCGCAACCCCCGCGCCACTATGAAAATGATTGTATGCGGTCATAGTTCGGATCGTTGGTATGGTACTATGCTACAAGACACTTCTAACACGACATAGAGCATGAACAATGGACGGGAAAAGCAGGGGACGGGTTGTGGAGATGATCACAGCGGCGGAAGGAAGAGCATACAACCAGCGAAAGGCGATTACGCAACGTACGCGAACGTGTCGCGAGTGCCTTCTACACGCTCGATGTACTCCTTCTCGAGCAGGTGGTCGATGGCCTGGAGATGACGAAAAGGGCTATATCAGAATACACGCCTGAAACGAAGAAGCAACAGAGCCTGCGCACCTTCTTGATGTCAGGGATCTTCGGTGTGAATCGCTGAGAAATCTGCTGAATGACTTCCTGAATGAGGGCCTGGTTCTTCATCGTCTTGCGTGCCTTCATTATACTGGATCGCGGTCAGTAACTTATTAAAATAGCGCAAGGATGACAAATACATACCGGACGATGGTCGCTTGGATAACGTACTTGCGATCCTCGTCGACTGTCTTCAGGACATCGGTTGACTCCGCCTTCTGCTCCGCCTTGATAGGCGTGTTGAGATTGATACGGATCTTCTTCGACTTGAAGTCTGTCGACTACTCAGTACAGTATCACTAACAACATCAAACGGACTACGCACTGGGATTCAGGTCGTACTGCTCCGTCTCCTCGTTGATGAGGATCTTCGCCTTCACGAGCACGGCAAGGACCTGCTTGAGGATATCCTTGCTGATCGCCGTGGCGTTGATCAGCTCGTCGAGCGAGAGCGTATCGTTATTGTTGTACTGGAGAAGTACTGCCATCTGCCATGAACTCGTCATGAGGATGTACTTCTGGTTCAGATAATTGGTTCGGAGCTCGTTCTTCGAGTAGTTCCAGAGCCATGTGAGCTTGCGTCCCGAGTGCTTCTGCTGGTAGTACTGCGAGAAACGAGTGTAGGTAGGGAGGATGTCCTGCGGGATGATGAAGTCGTGGGTGGGAGGGTTGAGGGGCCAGAAGTTTGTGCCGAGGACCATGATGCTGAACGTAATATCCATGTCATCGTGGTTTTGCTGCATACGCTCCTTGAAGTTGTCCGTGAGATCCTTGCTTAGGCTCATATCTAGTGATTTGGATGAGCTGTTGTGCGTGCTAAGATCGACGTCTAAAACGTACCCGTGAACATGCGCTGAAGCTTGTTGGTGTACTCGAAACCGCACGCCTCCTTCAGCTTCGAGATCATGCTCGCCTCGGCCTCGTCCGACGCCGACACCCCATGAATAAGACGCTTCGACAGCTTCGTCGTGTAGAATTGCTGGAACACGTCCTTGTCGTCGATGTATTTGAATAGGATCATCTGATTCCCCGCGTCCCGATCAGCAAGTGCAATCATTTGTTTACGCACGACTCTACGTACCACTTTGTTCAACGCGCCCTCGAGGTCCTCTTCTTCCGCCATCTTATTGTTCTTCCGAAGCAGCGCGTCCGCGTGCTTAGCGAGTAGCTCAGGCGACTTCGTTGTGGACGTGCCAGTGGCAGCGTTCCGGTTGCCGAACTCCCTGCACGCTTTGTCGAGACTAGCAACGAAGCCTGCCTCGCCCCGGAAGCTGCGTGTGACCGTCTCCGAGTTCTTTTGGTGCACCTCAAGCAAGGCGTCGACGTAAGCCTTGGGATCAACCTCCGGAGCGCCCTGAGCACCGGAACCCTCGCCGATGAGCTTGTGCACGGCAGCGAGACCCGCCCGCTTGACGTGCTCCTCGAACCTCTTGCGAAGGGGCTCCAGACCCTCGGGGATGCGGGAAAGCAGAGCGTACATTCGCTGCAGATCCTCGTCCTTGTCGTAGTCGAGCAGCCCTTGGAAGCTGTCCCACATGAGCTCCGCGTGCTCCCGGATCAGGACCTGTTCACATTTGTTGATGAGAGCCTTGCGGGTATTGGTGTTCATGTAGCGCTCGACGCGGTCTTCCTCCTCGCGCAGACGCTCTTCGGCCTTCTTCAGGTAGTCTGCGACGCTGTTCTCCGAAAGGAACGCCTTCGACTCCTGCTGGTAATACTTCTGGGTAGCGTCAAGGAAGGGGGTCTCGAGGTGCTCCCGGTACACCTCGTAGGAGACCTTGTTGATGTCGCTTTCATCAAGACCGAGAGAGACGAAGGAATCGACGACCTTCTTCACAAGACCTTGGTCGATCGTCTCGCCGTTCCTCTGACGCTCAATCAACCGCAGAATGGCCCCGGCGAGCTTCTGGTGTTTGCTCTGTACATGAAGGAAGAAGTTTGACTTCCATTGCACGAGGGCGAGCTATCGTAAGGACTGGTAAGCCACAGGCTCAGAAGTGAAAGCATGACACCCGGGAGCAGCAGATGAAATTCCAACAATAACACTCGACGCGATGCATCGTAATGAGCTAGGGTGGAACAGAGGCTCGTAGCCCTCCCTAGAAGCCAGTGCTGCGGTCGCCAGAGCCACAGACGCTTACATCGGCGTCCAATGCTTGCTGAGGGTGCAGCATGGCGACACGATGACCATGCTATCCTGCAGACAGAGGTTCCAGATACATCGGACTGCATCATGATAGTGTCTGCCGCTGCAATGTACTCCGATTGCCACGGAACGAAAACGATGAAAGACGCACAGTGTATACGGGATAAACGCCCTTCCTGCCCTCGTCCCGTTCCCGCTTTACCCAATGCCGATTGAGGTAAGTGAACAAACGGTTGATGTAGTTTGCGCCGGTTGTGTATCTATCCCACTCCTGGGCATAATACCGCAGCAGCGCCTCGTCCTGGAGCGTGTCGGATGCCTGGATGTGGGGGAGGAGGGCAGCCAAGCGCTCAGGTCAAGAGGTTTGGAACGTATGTGGCGACTCTGGGCACTTACTGTTCTGAGAGTCTTGAGGTGATTTACAAAATAGCGGATCAGGTTGTTATACAGATCAGAGCCCATCAAGTTGGCTCCCGCTGCTGGAAGATCAATAAACATCGGCGTCGGGTCTACGAGCAAGTACTCACTACGGTGTCCCATGCCACTACCGTCTCCCGTCCCATGCATCTTGGAGGACGTGCAGTAGTTGTATGACACGGTGTACAAACTCATGTACTTAGAGTACGAGACACCGGTCTGGAGCTTGGTCATGATATGGTCCACACCCTCCTCAAGATAGGCCCATGTTGTCGCGAGATCCGCGTTAGGCGGGGGCATAGGATAGGCGTTGGTGCCTGCAGAACTCATATCAAGGTCGTAAGCGGTCTGAAGAGGAGAGATGGGGAGGGAGAAGATGTGGTAGACGGTCAAGAGCACCGGTTGAGCGTCTAGACGCGTGGCTGCCGCAAGTCACGCAGCGTGCCCAGCCCAGTCGTGACATGCTCCCGACGCTCATCACCATCGCCCATGCTCGCGCGACCGAACCTCAGACTCGTTTTCGAGCAGTAATATGGTTAGACCCCGTGGTAGGACTCCAGGTGTCTTCTTGTGTTGATGGAGACATTGCTTTTATACCACAAGCTCGAAAGCCGTGAGCCCTGTTCCACGATTTCTCCCATCGAGTATACAAACACTCAGTGGGACTCAGTAATTGAATGTTTTGTAGGTCCTGAGTGTCGCATGCCAATGGTAAATGTGTGTGCGTTGCGATCATGTTCCCGAATCGTTTTTGCTCATCAATGGAATCCGTCTTTAGGAACAGGGCGCACTATGGGCCTGGCGCCCCCGGAATACCCCCGGTTCGACAGGGTGAAAAGCGCGTTCAACGGTCGCACCGTGGAAATGGGACTTGACCGTTGAATATCCCCCGTCAATTATCCGCGGGCGCAACGTGTTTTTACATCCGTAAAGGTTTTCCACCTGGGACGCTAAGCTGAACGGGGGTATTCCACGGCAGTGTTGTTACGGGTCAAGTCAAAGTCATGACCCTTTGGTCAAGTCATGACGGGATCGGTCAAGTCAAGCGGTCATGACCGATGGTCACCGGTCAGCACGTGATGTGTTCGCTGTACCCCGAGCAGCTTGCCGCGCGGGGCTGGTTCGGCCAGCGTTGTTTTGACCGCGGTCATGACCGAAGCCATGACCGATTTTGACTAGCTTGACTGGTCATGACGGTTGGTCAAAGGTCAACGCGTGATCTAGGCGACCGAGCGCTTGTGGGGTCGCACTAATCACGTTGATTGGGACCAGCAGCTATGGATGGCCCGACTAATTGTGTATGCCTAGGTAGAAATTGTATAGAATTGAAGGAGCATTTTTCGAGGGGAGAGTGAGCGGAAGGTGTCAGATAATGTGAGCTGGAGACAACAGAGGTTGGAAGTATCAAATACTTCAACTCCGTCAGCGGTAGAAACTATTCGGACTGAAGCATTTTTCGACTCTTCTACCGGACAAATAATATTGTGAGCGTGCAGCTTCCTCCCGCACTCGCTATTCCCTCACCCCCCTGACTACCTCCATGCACTAGCAAGACGGCGCCGCCTGGGAGCACCGATGACGAACCTGGTTTCCCGTATGCAACCCTGGTCAA